TTATAAGGCATATAAAGTTAACTTTCCCTTTGTCAAATGGGAACTTCTTGTTTGTGGACCATAATAGGCGGTGCTTTTGTCTTGAAAATTGCATAAGGTGCTGCCACTGGTGTTTCCATTTTTATAGTCTTAGAGAGTTAACTAAATATGGCTGGGGAGACACTGATTGTGATATGGATCATGATGAAGGGAAAAAGGTTAAATAGTAGAGTGAGAGAGATGCGCCTACTTTAGAACTTTGGCTTATTGTATTCACTCTATTGAATTGTTTCCTTGGAGACAAAGTCTGCTATTGTTCATTGATGCAAGAGGTTTTTATGGAGTTTGTTGGAGCTAGAAGGAATGTAGAGGTTGTTGAATCACAAGGGAATTGGATGCTTCTTATAGTATCTTTGCATGTTCCACCTTCTATCGATGTTTGATTAATGGAAGATTAGGAGGCATGTTTATAAACTTGATGTTGTGGAGTTGCCAAGCAAGGCTCTTTGCGTGGAATTTTTATTGGGTCAGGTAACCTGATGTAGAGATACATCAGGTAACCAATAAAAAAATGCCACATGCACTTACTTTTTGTTTAAAGTGCATGTGACATTTTTTTATTGGGTACCTGATGTATCTCTACATCAGGTTACCTGACCCAATAAAAATTCCTTTGCACATTAACTGATTATCAAATGGGGCAAAGCATTTTTGATGCAAGACATTGAAGGTTCTCAGTATTCTCTTCAATATTAATTTATAGGCATGAGTCCAATTGATTTTGTTAAATTTCAAATGATATATATATATATATATATATTACCATCAAATGTTTTTATTATCGGGTATGAATCTCGAGGAAATTTTGAATAAGAAATCTCTAAAATTAAATTCGGGACCATCTGGACTCCGATTTGAGCAAACTAATAGTGAAACCGAACGTTTCAAAAAGATGAACCCAACAACACTAAATTTGACCCAATTCGAGCCCCAAATGGGTCCAAATCAAGGGCCTTAAGCACATTTAGAAGTTAAAAATATAAATTGGATGTCCAAATGTGACATGCTTATAGTCGAATCGAGCAGCTCGACGAGATGAATCCAACAAGCCCATGATCGCTGAAGTTTGACATCATTAATGCACTCAAATACTTAATAAACGGTTCATGATCAAGGGAATCAATATCATCTATCCATTTGAACCACTTCCAACGTGCCCTTGATCTTCTCCCTATTTATTGGTGATGCCGCTCCTAAAAAATTATAAATAGACCCCTCATTCTTCATTGATGGGGGACCGAGCAAGGAAGGGAGGATGAGAGTAAGAAAGAAATAAAATATGAGATTTCTCTTGCCACCAAACTCTTCCTCGACCACCGCCAGGCCACCGATCATCGTCGGATTTTTGTCGAACTTTTACCCTGCCACCAACTGTCACTGGACTTATGTCCAACTATCGATTGTCGTCGGACTTCCGCCCAGTTACCAACTGACTTTGGACTCATGCTCGATCATCGATCGTCACCAGACAACAGTCTTTTTGATCTCCATTACCTGCTGACTGTGATCCTTCCGACCACCATCACCCGACTACAGTCTTTTTGACCACCGTAGTCGACTACTGTCTTTCTGACCTCTGTCGCTCGCCGACTATGGTCCTCTCGACCTCCATCACTCGCCTATGGTCTTTCCAACCTTTGTTGCCCGCCGACTACGATCTCTCTGACCACCATCTTCAGACTACAGTCTCCCCAACTACCATCGCTAGACTATGGTCGATCTTTCCAACCTTCGTCGTCGGCCGACTACGATTCTTCAGCCACCGTCACTCGACTACAATCTTTCCGACCTCTGTCGCCTGCCGACTATGGTCTCTCCAACCACCATCTCCAGCCTATGGTCTCTTCGACCGCTATCTTCCGACTAAGGTCTTTCCGACCTCCGTCGCTTGTCGAGAATATGGTTCTTCCGACCAACATCGCCCGTCGACTATGGTCCTGCCGACCAAACGAACATGTCAACACTGATTCTTCCAACTCCCACTATATAATGCACTTTATATGATGCATTTTTGCTTCATGGAGTCAAGGCCTTCTCCCCAAGGAAGGGCCTCATTTGTAATGAACTGCAAACACTAGTGGATTCATTTAAACTGGGCAAGGCCCCATTGGTTTTTCCCCCTTTTCATGGATTTCCACGTAAACACTCTTGTGTCTCTTATGAATGCTACATCCCTATCTTTTATCTATTTGTGTGCTGGATCTTCGTATAAAGCTAAGACATTAAACTTTATATATCTCTACCACCGCTATTGTTCCAGTCCACAACAATATATATAGTAATGATACATGATCCTTTCCTTAATAGTTAATGCATTATTAGAAAAGGATTGTAAGCCTAAATCCTATATAAAGAGTTTTTGACTTATATTGAGTAAATTAATTATTGAATGAACTATTATAAAATTAGGTTGCATAATTCATTTTATTTTATTTCTCCTCCTTCCCAATGAATTTTGATTATTTGTCCTTTTCTCCTTTTGAGTCCCTCTTTTTAGTGTTACATTATTTAATATCATATCTGTACGATCCTCGCTTTCATCAATTTAGTCTATCCATTTCCTCATGAAGCTTATCTCTAATTGACGAACCATTGTTTGGCCCCTTTGAACCTTTGTCGATAGAGCTTTTCTCTTTTGGAGTTTCACATAGGTAGCTTCTTGCTTTGGGGAGTAACTAAATTATCACTTAGATAAGGCATGCAAGAAACCCAATTTTGGTGTCGACAATATTGCGAGCATTCGATGATCTCATAGAAACATGCTAATAAAACTCTAAAGTCATGAAGGGCTTTTGCTTGTTTATAGTAGAAAATCATAGAATCAATTGATGAGGAAGTTATTGCTAATTAATTTAATTTTTTCCAATAATAGAAACCATGCAAGAGCCTAAGTCTTAATCTTTCATAATTATTGTTTAAACAAGAGCTTAAGCCTGCATCACTTGCAGCGATGCTATTGTTTCAGATTCAATTGAGGTGATACCAAAAAATGATCCATAAATGTGAGTATTGCTTCTATCATTTGATATTGAACCTGCGTTTCCACTTTCATCACTAACACATTATCTCAAATCTATATCATTTATTTTAGTTCGAGGACTAAATATCAAAAGCTCATGATTCTCTTGATTCTCCTGCTCTTCTCCCTACTCAGCTTGTGCTAGCACTTCTATTATGACAGGTTTGAGTTGATTATTTTTGGCATCAGATTCAATGATTTTTCTTGGCCGTCTCCAAAACCTTTGGAGATCTGCATTGTGGTACTTATATCCTCTCCAATTGATTACATATCTGCGCATGAGTTAGTTCTAAAGCCACCATCATCATGGTCTTTTTCTAACTCTTCAAGGAAAAGCTTCTTTTAGCCAAGATGAATGATTGAAGACAATTATGGTCACCATAATTGTTTCAATAAAAAGCTTCTTTTAGTCATAATTAAGGACTTATGTAGACATTAACTTCATCATAGCTATTTCTTGATATATTCATTTTTTTTCTCGAGACTTAAAGCTCTATCCTTTGCTTCGTGAAGCCCCTTGCCTTCTATTTGGAAGGCAAGGCAGAGGTATTGCCTTTTGTCTTCTATGGAGAAGGTGGGGGGCTCAAGTATCCTCAAACAATTTATTTCCAAAGTAAAATTTGAATTTAACATTGGGAACTGAATTTAAAAATAACTTAAGATGTACCAAAAATATGTTAGCGAATTTCTCTTCTCAGAAAAAGAGCGAATCCATATTGATTGATGTATGTAGTGGACAAAGAACTTATACTTTTGGTTGACAAATCGAATATTGTACAACAACAACAACAACAACAACAACATCAAGCCTTTATCCCATTACGTGGGGTCAGCTACATGAATCCTTTTTCTCCATTGTGTCCTATTAAAAGTTAAATTCTCGCTTAAATCTAATAAAAAAAGATCATTCCTAATATTTTCTAACTAAGTCTTTTTAGGTATGCCTCTACCGTTCTTAGCATAAGTCAAATCTAATACCTCTATTGTCCTAACCGGGTCATCAGAAGGCCACCGTTTTATGTGACCAAACCATCTAAGACGACTCTCTCTAATCTTATCTTCTACTGGAGCTACTCCAACCTTTTATGTATATACTCATTTCGTATCCTATCTCTAAGGGTAAAGCCACTCATTCACCCGAGCATCCTCATCTTTGCCACACTCAACTTAGTATTACACTTCTCTTTTAATGGAGAACATTCGGCAACATAAAGCATTGCAGGCCTCACCACCCATTGTAATGATGAATAAGGATTCATTCACGTGAAATTTCATAATTTTGGTTAAGAGTGCTGCAAGACTCTGGATAAGTTTCGTTCCTCCTATATAGAGCGCTACTTCAGACATTTATGCTATTTTTGCGTTTTGGAAATAAAATGCTAAATACTCACAAGTCACAATAGACTCTGTCACATTAATTAATTGTGTGTCATCACAAAATTCACTTGCCCTCATCAACATGACCCTGCAATTACCAAATATTTGTTGTACTCATAATCACAGGGGTGACAATCTCTTTAATTTTGGGCAATTCGAGCTTAGGTATTATATCATAATTGTAGAAGCGATTGTTTATATACAGTCAACCTGGCTTACTCAGTCACCCTAATACTATTGTTTGGTAAGAGTACACCCATTACTTCATGGCTCAAATTGTATTGTGGCGAGCGGTGTTGTGGTGTGTGTGTGGGGTGGTATTAATTATTTTGTGCGGACGCCGAATGCCGTCCGGAGATCAACTAGAATGTGCCATGTCACCTCTGTGCTCGGCACCGCTAGCATGGCGCATTCTGGTTGGTCTTTGGACGGCGTTCTGTGTCCGGTCTCCGCATAGAATAATTTGCTGTGGGTTGGGGGTATCATTGATTCATGCAACCCGCCCCCCATATATATATATCTATGAACTGAATTACTGACCATGAAATGGGGCCTGCAGGTTTTGCTGCATTTACTTCGTGCTGGATATTTTTTGTATAAAGAGGAAATGGGTAGTTTCAATGGAAACATGGACTCTGTACTAAAGTGTCCAATACGAACAATCTACTTTGAGACCTCTAGTGCGTTTCCTGAAATTAATTCATTCACTTATGAGACAGCTGCTAGGTAGTAATTCTCTTTCCCATATTATTTAGTGTTTTAATTCCAATTAATGTTTTAATTCTCTTGGAGTGATTTTACTCATGATATAGCTATCTCTGTTTGTTTGTATTTCTTGCTTTATCTTTATCTATATATCTATATTTGATGTTTCAGTTATTTTTGACAGTTATGATTTACAACTGGATATTATTCGCCTTGATTTTAAGTCTGGTCTAGAGACTTTGCTTAAGGAAAAACCTACAAAAGCTATTTTCCTGGGAACCCGAATTGGCGATCCAAATGCTGTATGTTATTCTCTCTTTTTACCATATTACATACATTAGGAGGCTGATACTTATAATGGGAGATGTATTTTTTTAGAGTTATATTCACATGCTTGTATTATAATTTATGAAACTTGCTGTACCTGCAGATTGGTCAAGAACAGTTTTCTCCAAGTTCAACTGGATGGCCTCCTTTTATGAGGGTGAATCCCATCCTTGATTGGTCATACAGGTTTTTCATTGGTTATTATCCTTTTTTTTAAGCTAGTTTTTTTTTTCTGATTTTATTAGTGCACCGTATGATGTATTCTCTTTCTCTCCTTTCTCTGCAGGGATGTGTGGGCTTTCATCCTAACATGCAAGGTTCCATATTGCAGTCTATACGATAAAGGGTAAAATGTTCTATTTTATGTTCTATTATTGAAAGGATTAGTTATAAGTGATATGTAAATTTATAACATAACATAAAAGTATAAAACAACATATGCATAGATAACCTCACTTACGTATTTTGAAATCAAGTAAGACTGAATAATTTAATAAGTTTAGATTTTCTATACATTATTTGTGAAACAAGTAATAGTTTCTATGATGTTTTTCTTTATTCATTATTTACAAATAAAGAAAAGAAAATTAATCTTTATGTCAAATGGTTCCATATAGTAACCATATTGTCATGTTTTTTGTTAAATAATTTATTATTATAATATAAATTGTTTCATTATTTATCTTTAATATTATTGTAAAATTAAATATGATAAATTACCTGCAATTATTTAATATAATAATTTTTTATATTATATAATGTTATTAGCATACTTATTATATTTACAAGTTATTACTTAACCAAGAAAAAATATATTTAGTAGTTATTTAATATTTTTATATGTTGTAGAATAGATTTATTAAAATAATATATTTTTATAATAAGAAATAATATATTTTCTAATAAAAAAATATTTATAGTTATCAAATACTTTTAAATGTTCCAGAATGTGTATCAAAATATTATTTTTATAATAAAATATAAGTTCATTTTTCATTGAAAGTGTTTAAAATTTGTAATAAAGTGTTACGCTATTTGTCTAAATAGAGACATGTTGATAAAATTTTTGGTTTTAAATTAATGAAAATTTTTTGCATATCAAAATTTTATGCAATATGTTTCATAACTTTGTTTTTTTCCATTAAAATTTTCATAATTTTATTTGTGTGTCTAAACACTTACATTTTCTCCAGAATTATCATATAACATTTGCAATTAGTTTTTTATTTTAAGTTAAAAAGTCTATTTATAATATAGTAGCTCCACTTTGAACATAATTATGTTACTTTTTCCTTTTGATGAAGCTTGTGTTTACTCCTTCCGCCAAATATCTTTCTCATATCTTATACCTATTATAAATCCTCTCATAGCCTACTCTACTAGAATCTATATATCCATTTAAGTTGCCACAAATAATTATCCTTTCTCATTAGGTATACACTGTATATTTTTTCCATAATTTTCCAAAGCTGGTTTTTCCAACCATCTTAAAATCCAACTTTTAGAGCATAATCAATAATAAAATTTATTATGTCATCATCAATAATTTAGTAGTCATCACTCTATGGTTAAACCAAAAGATACCTCTTGAAGAAAGAGTTTTTATTGGAGGAGATTTAAATGGACATGTTGGTAGAGAGGTAGATGATTTTAAAAGCATTCATGGTGGCCATGGATTTGGAACGACGAATGAAGGGTTGTTGTTGTTGTTGTACTCTATGGTTAAACCTGTCCACCTTAACAATTTTTTAAATGATTTATTAACTACTCTTGCTTCCGTATTCTTATTGTTAATCTTCTCAATATACACCAACTTGTAACCTTCATGATTTTTTTTTTTTCAGACATTTTTCCTTTCATTCTATTTGCAAACTACCAATTTTTTGCTCTTTTAATCATTGTACTCACTACTTTTTTGATATTCCAATTCAATGTCCTTGAATTTCATGTAGCAAATCTAAGTTTACACAATTTCCACCTCAATTATATTAGGTTTTGCTTCATCATTTCTAGATGATGTAGTAGCCAATCCTTTACGATCTTCAGGTTATAACTGTGGCAAACCACCTGTAGGTGATTTCACGGCAAACTCTTTTCTATTTCTCACCACAATTCAGTTAGGAGGCGGCGTATTCCTGCTTTGGAATGCCCTAGCATTAGTAAAATTTAAATTTATATTCATCTTGTGCTTGACTTGAGTTTTATGATTGGCGATGGAGCTAAGATCAACACCAAGCTTTCTCATTAGGGTTTGGGACCAGTGATGACAGTTTTTAATGAAAGAGATGCTGGTTTTTATCTGATTGAATACATTGGAATTGCTTTTCTATGAGCTTTGTCCCTCTTTGTACCTCTAATTTGCTCAGATTCTTACCTTTAGAAATTAAAAAAATTACCCGATACACTTTCTTTTTATTGGCTGCGTTGAAAATTGAACATGAACCACCTAGGCTTTCATTGGTTGCAACAAGAAGACATGTTTGTGTTTATAAAATTGTTGTTTTCTTTTATATTTACTACCTGAATACTTATCTTATTGTTGTTATCCGTTCAATCATTGTTATTGTCCTGGTACCAATTGATGCTGTAGATGATGGACGAAAATGTTTATCATGTGTAAGTAATATGAGCACTTAAATGGTTTACCTAGTGCTGTAATGCATGAGTTACCTGCCGGTGTGGGGTCTGAAAGGAGGTGGATGTATATGGTCTAACCATGCATTTTGGAGGCTTTTTCAATGAATTAATATGAACTCAAGCATATCAAGTTTCGAAACTGGCAGAATTTCATTCTTATTGCTCATAATTTCATACTATTTTGAAACCTAGTTTACCCCCGTTTTAGGTATACTTCCATTGGGAGCATATATGATACAGAGCCAAATGCATTGTTATGCATTCCTCATCAGTCTGGCGACAAAGAAAACTTCAAACCTGCTTATTGTCTATCAGATGGAAGACTTGAAAGAGCTGGGAGAGCAAAGAAGCTTGCTTCAAAGAATGACAACATTCCTATCATGAGTAATGGTTTAAAGAATACTAATCCACATCAAAGCTGCTCTTTTTCAGCGTCAATCATTGCTGTAGGTGATGAGATTCTGTAAGTTTTTAAATATGATATTGTAAGATTTTATTGTTCTCTTATTTAAAATTGATCATACTATTTTGTCCATTAGTTGCCAACTGGCATTAGGAAATCATTGAAGCTATATATGGACACTAAATGAAATTAATTACTTTTCGTATAATTGGTAAACTCTTGTTAGCTTGCTTCTGAAAAAATTGCAGGGACTGCTATTTCTTCTGATAAGACATTTTCTTGTAATTTTTAGCACTTCAATAATTTAACTGCAAAGAAGGATTTCTGTCAATAACTAAAATTTATTTAAATCAGTGATACTTACAAAAGAACAGGGACATGTACATGAGTATATATAGGCAGAGGTCACAATTGCACGAGCCATCTTATATATTAGTTAATTTTATTTATGAAATATAATTTTGCTTAAGGGAAGCATTTGAATTAATTATATGGAAATGATGAAATAATTTTTTCTGTCAAACATGAAATTGTTAGTAGCTATTAATATTAAGAATGTTGCAAAGTATGGAGTATCAAAAGGAATAGCTCATAATAGTAAATATAGTTGTTAGTGGAATCAAAATGTGTAAGAAAACATAAAAAATAAGAAGCTTTTTTTATAAAAATTGGGTTAGATGTAAAAGCTCAGGAAATTGGAAAAGATATAGAAGGCCCATAAAGAGTCTAAAAAAATAATACAAATGCAAAGATTTTAACTTTTAGTGATTTATATAATAGATTATATACTAAACAGGGCGAATGATATATATATATAAGTTAGCTAAGCAAAGAAATAAGAGAGGTAAAGATCTACTTCAAGTGAATTCATTAAGGATGAAAATAAAAAAGTGCTTTTATTAGAAATGAATATTCAACATAAGTAGATGAGATTTTTTCGTTAAGCTTTTTAATGAAGACTATGAGAATACTATTGACTTTAGTAATCTTAGCACCCTAAATAAAAATAAAGATTTTAATTTTTATCATCGTATTAGTAGAGGTATGTAAATGCTTAGGAGATGAAGGAATTTCTTGGCTTACTAAATTGTACTAAATTTCTAAATGTTATTTTGAAGACTAAAAGGATGCGTGATGAGTAGAGGTGTGTTTTGGTTCCTATTTTTAAGAATAAGGTGATACACAAGAGTGTGAATTATAAATGAATTAAGTTAATGTGTCGTAAATTAAAAATATGAGAAAGAGTAATTGAGCATAGGTTATGACATGATATTAATGTTTTTAAAAACGAATTTGGAATAATGCCAGGTAGGTCTACTATGGAAGCTATACATTTATTAAGAGGTTTGATGGAGAAGTATAAAGAGAATATGGAGGATCTAAATATGATATTTATTAATTTAGAGAAAACATATGATAAAGTTTCAAGAGAAGTGCTTTGAAGAATTCTAGAAAAAAGAAGAAATTAATAATGCTTATATTCAAGTTATTAACACTACAGGAAAATCACCCATTACCGGCGGAATTTTCCGGCGGCTTTCCAGCGGTTAATTTTCCGGCGGCTTTCCGACGGAAAACAATGAGACAACTTTTTCGATGAAATTTTCTGGCGGTTTCTTTCCCATGGAATTTTTCGGTGGAATTTTAAAAATTTAATTAAATTGATTAAAATTTTAACTATTTAAATTATATAACAAAAATGATGAAAAATAATATTAACTATTTCTTTAATTTAAGTAAAAAGATTTAAATTAAAAATTATTATTTAAATTTTAATTTATTTTAATTTTTTCAGTAATTAGTAATTTTAATAGTATTTTAATTCATTATTAAGTTTCTTTCCCATTAGTTAGTATATTTTTTTAATTTTCCGGAGGCTTAATTCTGCCGGATAGCCACCAGAATTATTTCCCGCCGGAAAAAGCAGTCGAAATTTTTTTTCCTTTTACCAGCAAAAAAATTCTGCCGGAAAACTACCGGTAAATTTGAAAACTGTCGGAAAATGATCAATTTCCGCCGGTAATAGATGATTTTCCTGTAGTGTAAGGATATGTTTGCAGGAGTTGTTACTTGTGTTCAAAGAAAAATGGGTTTAAGGACAAGTGGGTTTGACCAAGTATTTTCCTATTTCAATTGTATTATATCAAGGATCAGCTTTAAGGCTACATTTATTTATTGAATCATGGAAGTTTTTACTAGACATTTGTAAGAGGATGTGTCATTGTGTATGATTTTTGTTGATGATATTCTTCTTGTTGATAAGACTAGAGAGAGATTTGCAAGGAAATTTGAATTATGAAGATCAACCTTAGAGTATAAAAGTTTTCGTTTGAGTAGATTTAAAACTGAATACATGGTATAATTTTAATAGTAAAAAATCTAGTGGGGGTATTGTGAATTTAGGCGATCAAGTCATTAAAAAGAGCACACACCTTAGATATCTCAAGTTTACTTTTCAAAGCGATGGTGAAATATATGAGGATATTATTAGTAGAATTCAAGTTAGATGGTTGAAGTGAACTAGTGGAGGAATGCATTGGGCTTATTGTGTGATATAAAAGTTTCGCTCAAACTTAAGGAAAAATTCTATAAGATGGTGGTGAGACCTACAATGCTTTATGATGTAAAATGTTGGTCATTAAAAGAGAAGCATAAAATTAATTTAAATGTTGCAGAGATGAGAATGTTCAGGTGGGATGAGTGGCTTTACTCTTAGAGATAAAATATGAAATGAGTATATACGTAAAAATGTTGGAGTAACTCTTGTGGTAGATAAAATTAGTGAGAGTGGCCTTAGTGGTTTGGTCACATAAAACAGTGGCCTTCTTATGAACCGATTAGTAGAGTAAATGTATTAGATTTGACATTTATCAAGAAAGGTAGAGATGGATAAAAAAATCTGATTATAAAGTATTAGAAATGATATTTATTTATTTTATTTAAATTTGAATTTAACTCTTAACAGGACACAATAGTGAAAAAGGATTCATGTAGCCAACCCCCCTAGTGGGATAAAGGCTTGATTTTGGTGTTGTAAACCTGAAATTTTTAAGATAATAAAAGATGATATTTGGACAAAAATGAGAAATAAAGAGAATGAAATGTGGAAAATGATAAGAACATTGATTTTGGATCTAACTAGGTCAAAGCACAATATTTTTTGGGACTTGTTTTGTCAAAGTTTGCTTGAGCAGTGTACAAGGAATGTCCATGCGATGTTTGAGTTTGTTTCTCATTGAAATCGACAATTTCATTATTTTGCGAGTGGTGATTTGTTTTTTTAAGTCACTTGAGGTCCTGATTAACATCCTTATTATATCCTTAATAGTTTTACCGCATAAAGAGTTTTAGAAGATTCTTTTGTAATTGGAATTTTGCTGACTGAAGTAAATTGAGGTTCTCTTTGTCATCCTTGTTATACAACCCATACTTCCATTGCTCAAGGAGTTTTAAAAGATGCTCTAATGTTAACTGTTTTGGGAGTGTGATTTATAGCTTGAATTATTTTAAAAAAGATGCTTGAATTAGCTCACTGCAGTGAAATTTAAATAAACTCCAGCCTTATTTCAATAGTTATTAGCATTTGATATTCTGGAGCAAAGTATGTGAGTTACACCCCTTTGTTAGATCGCGTTGTATTGTTGTACATTTGACCATGGCTCAGAACATAATCGAGGCTCAAATTTTATAGTTTAATTTAGCATTTGCCACAATAATTTGGGAACAAACATTCGTTTATCCTCAATAGTTTTCATATTTGTTGTCTTGTTGCATATTGGTTCTTTGTTTTCTCCTGCTGGAGCTTGTTGCTTGTTGGTGATTCTCTTCTTCTGCTTTCATGTATGCTAATTTTCTCATATGCTTCTTGTTAGTTCTTGCTGCTTCTGCTAAGTAGCTTCTCTCATAAGCTTCTTTTTTAAAATGCTTCTCACTGCATTCTTTTCACGTTTCTCCCCTCCTCATCATGATACTTTCTCTCACCTTTTGTTGCCTCTATTTTTTTAGTCTAGCTGGTCTCTCAATCTTATGAGTATTCTTAATTTTTATATATTTTTTCATAATTTCATTTTTAATATTTTAGTTCTTTTTCCTGCTTCTAGATAGATGAAAATAATCGGTATTGAATATATTATTATAGTTGCACATAGTTTTTATTCTTTATCAATAAAAATTGTTATCTAATATGGTTTAAATTTTGTTAATTAAATGATTGTTGTATGCACATAATTTATTTATAGGCATACAAGGAATGAGTGCTCTATTTAGTAAAACTGCACTTTATGAATGAAAAAAAACACTTGCGCATTACATTTGAGTTCAGCACTTTGAAAACGCTGATATTAACTATGTATTTTCTCTATAATCAACATACCCTTTAATTGGTTTTCAGGAGGCCATAGTGGGAGCGCTAACCTTACTTAATATGATTAGCATGCCTAAGTTACGCTGAAGTGGGTTTCAGCACATAGCGAACAACTCACAAATTCAAACTCTAAAGGGAATTACTAACTTCTAATAATGGTCTCAGTAGTTACTGTCGATGTGTACAGTCCAATTGAGTATATTTAGATATTAAAAATTGAGTGTTAAGTGATGGAAGGGATCTACGATAGATTGCCAGTGTCAAAAGTTAAATGGCTAGTGAAATTTATGAATCTTGATTCAAATTTGAAATATATGATCAGCATATGTTTTTAACGTAAGAACCTAGAGACATTTTATCAAACCATATACTGTTTTGTATTTGTGGTTTAGATACCCTGTTAGTTCTCCACATAGCAAGTATTACAGAATGCCAACTGTTAGCTGGTGGAATCAATCATGTATACATTAGGTTATTGTGATATGGATTTGTGTTGTATACATTCTTAGTCTGTTTGATACCAACTGTTTGTCAGCTCAAAATGTTTTACCGTTAATTTATTCTCTCTCTTGATTTGCTTACCTTTCCAGGTTTGGCTCTGTAGAGGAAAAAATAGGGGCGACCTTGTGCAAAAAACTTAATGCTATAGGCTGGCGGGTCTCTCATATAGCTGTTGTTGGCAATGATGTAAGAGAACATGCACTTGTCCGGCTTTTTATTCAGAATTCTGATTGTGTCAAATATTCCATTGGTTTGAACTCCAATGAGCATAGCAAATTCATACATGTGCATGTTACTGATGTCTCAATTGTATTTCCTTTTACTCAGTGGTGTCATAATCTCATTATCCTTTTTTTTTCTTTTAATTTGGTTTATTTGTTGCTGTCAGGCTTATGCTAGATAGAAAATCTATTGCAGATGACCTTGTATACCTTTTAGATAATTTATTTGCTATGTAAAGTATACATTATTTGAAATAACATTTGGAAGTATGTTATGTTATATTAATGGGATGTCATAAAAAAAATATCTTATACTGCATTGCAAAAACTGTACTCAGGAAACTTCACTATAACATAAATTATATTTGTTTTTTTCCTGTTCTTAGTCACTGTTGGATTCTTTTGGGTTTTTGTTTCATAACTAATTAAAACTAGGCAAGGAAAAGCTTTTTTTTTTCTTCTTTCTTTCTTTCTTTGATAAGTCTTTATTGATCTATTTAGCTTTAGCAATCCTTAACATTGTTTATCTTTTTCTTTATTTTCTTAAATTTTAGTTAATATCACTACAATTAATTGATACTATTCTAGTGTCATAAACTCTGATCAGCTATTCCTTTTTCAATCATTAACTCCACTTGGGCTTGATACATCTTGTTTTCCTTAAAGGTTTTTATTATCATAAATTCACATAATTTGACCTTGAAATGCAACTTTTGCAGCAAAAAAGATGAACCGGTTTTCTGGTTGCCCCGTGTTAGGATTTTCTAGATCTTGATTAAAACTTAGTTCTTCTGTCTTTTGTTGCATCATCTCAATAGATCATATGATAATCTTGCTCATCCTTTTTGAGGATGTGAATCTAAAGGAGTTTGTTGGTAAGCTTTCTTGAACAATTGCTAGTTAATTGATTTTTGATATCATGCGCAGATTGATTTGATAGCTGATGAATTGGAGCACCGGAACTGCAAAGATGACTTGGTTTGTTTTGTATCTCATCTACTGAAGTTTATAACTATAGTCATGAACTTTCACATCTTTGTGAGCTAAATATTTATTTTTTCATTATGTAAAGTTTTTGAAACATGGATTATAGATATTTCTTTTTGGAGCGCTTGGGCCCTTACATTCAGATGTTTCATTAGCTGGTGTGGCAAAAGCCTTTGGAGTTCGTCTGGTGGGTTACTTGATGCTTTACTTTGAAGTATAATAATCCTAGCTATGCTTTGTTCTTTGAAATACTTTGATATGCAAAAGTGTCTATTTTAGCTGTCTCATTCCTCACCGTTAACGCTGTCCTTTAAATTTAAATTTTAAAATAATATAGGACATGACATTTTTATGACATACTTGTCTACTTGTGTGTGTATAAGGGGTAAGTATCTTGTAGGTCCCTAAGGTTTGGACTGCTCTTCATGTTGGTATACATTTTTGAGAACTCTTCATATCTACAATTAACTATAAAGGATACCTAAGAAGAGTTGATTAGGGAGCAAACCATCTCAGCTCATGTGCAAGGTTGCTAATAATCTATTAGCTTCACTAAACAAATACACAGCACATAACTTCATTAAAACTGCAGTATATGATGTCTTATTCAATACTAATGCTATGATGATGAAGTAATATATATCCACAGATAAGCAATGTGGTCACATAGTTGAGTGTTTTCATAATTTGTTGCACTTGTAGGGTCGGTCTTCTAAAGTTTATCTGCACTCTTAAGGTCTTGTTGGAAGCTCACATCTCAACTGAGAATACTTAGTTTTCGGTTATGCAATTGTAAAGATGCAGAACATTGTGATGGACCGGCTATTGATGGACCGGCTGACCTAACCCCTTGCGGGTCTACAGGAGGAGGAGGGGAGGGGCAGCCGGCCCAGGTGAACCAGGGGGGGTTCGGCCGAACCCAGGGAGCAAGGGGGAAAAGCCACGGTGGGCCCACCTATTTGAATTTTGTGGAACCAAGGGGGGCGGCCAGCTTTTGGGGGGAAATTGGAGGGTGGATGATGGGGGGCAATCTTGGAATGAGGGGGAAGTGGTGTGATTGTATGAAAGGGCCATTAGGGTTTATTTTGAGGGCATCATGTTAAGAAAGCTCTTTCTCTTTTCTTTCTTATTTCTCTAGGGTTTCTTTTGGGAGATTTGGTCCTTCTCGAAGTGGACTAGTTTTGTATTTTGTTTTGTCTTGAAGATTAATGCAAAGCTCTTTTGTTCTTCCTCTCATCTCTCTTGTTTGGTGTTGATTGAGATTTGGTGGAGAAATTCCATTCTTGAAGGAAAATTAGGGCAAACCCTAATTTGTGAAACCAAGGCGTATCACATTGTTCTTCCTTTATAAGAGATGCATAGCAAGTTGATTCACAAACAGCAGATGTAAAGCACATTCTACTGAAACAGCTCATTGAAATAGGCACATATGCTTAAAGTTCGTTCTTTTAACAGAACCATCAATTGATTGTAAAATGACAAAAATACCCTTTTTTCTTCATTCCCTTTCCTTTAAGATTGTAATGCAGGCCTTGCCCCTTCTCTTCTTATCCCTAATGACGCCCATTGCTGACAATATCTCTGTTTGCATCACTTCCTCCAGTAGATCCATGGCTTCTCTTGACTGGTACCTAATAAGCCCACCGTCATTGCAAATCTTTAAAAGATCGCAGGTTTGATCCACTTTCCACTCGTTATTGACAAGTACGAACGAAATTTCGTCCTTTTCTACTGAAACAGCTTATTGAAATAGGCACATATTCTTAAAGTTCGTTCTTTTAATATAACCATCATTGATTGTAAAATGACAAAAATACCTTTTTTTTTTTTTTTCTTCATTCCCTTTCCTTTAAGATTGTAATGCAGGTGTTGCCTCTTCTCTTCTCATCCCTAATGATGCCCGTCGCGGACAATCTCTCTTCTTGCATTGCATCCTCCAGTAGATCCATGGCTTCTATTGTCTGCTACCTAATAAGCCCACCGTCATTGCATGTCTTTAAAAGATCGCACGTTTGATCCACTTACCACTCGTCATTGACAAGTATGAACGAAGCTTCGTACTTTTCTCCTTCAACCCCCCACCCCCTATTTCTGCTTCCAGTCTCCTTTGCCCGCCCATCCTCCACTTTGGCTGCCAACACCATAACCTTCAAATTCCATCATGGTCGCCTCCTCCTTCCCTCATCAAATCCTCACCCTTATATTTTCCATCCATCACCGTCAACTTGGAAAACTGTGGGAGTGGCGCACGTGTTTGGAGGCAATGGAAAACTGTCATTGATTTAGTGAGCAACCAAAGTCATAGTAAAAAAATAAATTGAGATGTTAGAGAAGTATGAGGTCATCACTGTTATGCTTTCTTTAATTTTTGGATGAGTTTAGACAAATTATCATGAAAATGAACTATAACAAATCTTTAGAAAGGTGAGAATTTAATGTTGATCTTCAAAGTTCAGATGGATCATTGAGGAAGAACTGTAATCATACAATGGAATAAGAAGGTAGGGCTTTTTTAAAGACTTGAGTTTCGTCAGGGACTAATTTGACAATAAAGGAGTGTATTTTGGTGATAAAAGTTGTTATCATTCAATTTAAGAAAATAAGTAATTTTAGCTAAATTAACAAAAAATTTAACATTGTTGGTGAACAAATTTCTTTGTGCTGGCCAAAAATTAGGTTTGAGGACCATAGCGAAATTTTGAAGAGGTGTTAGGGATCAAAGTGGAGATTTAAAGAAGCGTGCACTGATCTGAATGAGCTTTTCAAACCTCAGGAATTTCTGTGACACACACACACACACACCAAAATGAACTAAATTTCATATTACCAAGCGCAAAACATTCAAGTAGCTTAAGTAAAAAATGAAAAGTGAGAGTAATGGTGAAGATGAATGTTATCTAAAATACCATTCAATTGAGGTATATCCTTGTTAGAGTGGGAAAGGTTTTGTTTAATTTATATCCAAGATGTTTGTGCCGTGTCCAAGAGGTGTTCAAGAGCTTTTGAAAATTGTTTTAGAAAAATTGAAGCATCATACACGTAATGGCTTTTTCTATTTTCTGTTCTAGAGTATCAAATATCTGACCTGATACAATGGCCCTCTAGAACAAGTTCTCGTGCTTTGACGTATTTTTGCTGTAGCTCAGGGTTTTTTGAATGGTTACTCTGTAATGAGAAAGCTAAAGATTTCCATAGACTAATAAAATCTGTTGATGTAAACTTGTCAACTATATTTTGGCAGCTGTCCCACTTTTCTCCATGTTAGTACCTTTTTTGAAGAAGTTACAGGAAAATGCATAAAATAGTGAAGTTTTAGGTGGATGATTTAGGATAAATTTCGTTGACATCTTCAGGTTTATAAATTGCTTACTAAAACTGGTGCAGAATACAATGTCCATTTTTCCTTGAATGGAAGAGTAACTTATGTAAGGAAGGGCACTAATGTTGTTATGATGTTTATTTCAAAAACCTAAACATGATGGTGGGTAAGAATTTCCTACGACTAATTGCTGATGCAACATATCGATGTCCTTTTTTCTTGTCATCCAATAATAGCTGGACGTACCTAAGGACTCTCATTTGGTCATGGTATTTTGTGCCCGTGATTTTAAAAGAAGGATAGGTAATTCCAATGTACTTGGAAGCTAAATGCTGCTGAACTACTGGCTGTTAGGTGTGGTTTTGTTCATGACGTTGAAGGTGGAGATAGGATATATAATTTTTAGTGTGATTCTATTCTATTGTACTACACTTTATTCACTTATTAGTTATTACCTCGAAATAAAATATGTCGAGGCACATGGCATACAATCTTGAAGTTAATCATGTTTAGCTAGACTTTATTTAGAGCTGACTATGCTCTAGAGTCGTTATTGATTGCAATTGACTTCTCAGTCTTGCTCTCTAATATATAACTTTTGCTATTGCTTCTTAAAATTCTTTGTTAGTGTTATCCGTTCATTACTCTAAAATCAACTGTACTTTCAGTGTTCTGAAATTGACAGAATTCTTTTAGGTATTTAGTAAATGATATTAAATTTATATCTTCCCCATCTCTAGGCTCCTGATGAATTTCACCATGTGTCATTTGTTCCTTGAAGTTTTTTGTTACTATTTTCTGTTTACTAGTTCTAAAAATCAATTGTATTTAAAGGATTTAAAATTGTAAAATTCTCTCACGAATTTAGTAGCTTCCTCATTCTTAGGCCCCTGATGAAGAGTTTGAGGAGTATCTTAGACATATTATGGGAAACCACGGCACAGGCAACCGAAATGAGGTGATGAAATAGTTGAAATATAATGCATGCATGTTATATTTATATATAGAATTTATACTTTCCTTTTTGGCTAAGCTTGCTTTTTGTATGTATACCTTCCGTATGCTAAGCTAACATAGTACTGTGTTTCTTGATTTATTTGTATTATTTGATGCAAAATTAATTCTGAAGACTTTTGTTTATTATAATAATAATGGTCATGAGAAGCCAGTTTTTTAAAAGAAAATTGAAGCTATGTATCCCAGATCAAGTCCTTGTTCTTTTTCTTATGAACACTAAAATATTTTTTTTACTGTTTATTTTCTTTTTTTATATTTCTATTGTCCGTTCACAAATTTTTTACTCAAAATTTTTTGGAATTTGGAATTATATTTTCAGTTTCATCATGCTTTCTTATGTTGTTCAATGTTCAAGCTTTTATTTTAAAGTTGAAAATTGTACTTGTTACGTAGTTATTAGTTATGATGTTTAGTATAGTTGAGACCGTTTCACTTTATAGTTGCTGTAAGTTAACCCCTTCTTAAACCTAACATTGATGGGAGTCTTATGCACTACAGATGCACTTTTACTCTATAAATACCATCGTTGAATATTCTTTAGTTAAAGAGGTGATATTGTAGAGATAGCTATTGTCTGATTTTTTCATAAAAAAATATCAACTTTATATTTAAATGAATGAAATATAGGCTAATAAATTCTTATGATAGAAAGTAAATTGTTATATTTATTATAGGACTTGCTTGATAAAGGATTCATTAGGCAGAGTTTTAGGATGTTGCTAGGTCAATTTTAGAAGGAAATTTGAATTGAAGATAAGACGCCTAGAAATTTCATCCTCATTTTACGAGGACTTTAAGATCGGGCTTAAGGTTTTTCATATGCGCAAGCCCCTATGGTTAATTATATCTCTCGATAATTAAAAGTGTACTTTCGAATTTCGATTAAGGCTTAGCCATTAGATAGTCACTAAGTACTGAGCATATAATAACAACAAATTTAATATTGGGATTTAGAGGTGGCAATTGATCCAACGTGACTGAAGGATTCTTGTCAACAACCTTAAGTTGCTCGCCCAACTTATCTTGTAGACCTGAGGTTGATGTTTGTCTAAGGGAATAAATTTGAATCGAACTAATAGAGAGATTTTAGCTATTGGAGAGCATACAAGCTAAGTTGCTCGCCCAACTTATCTTGTATCACCATTGACAAACGAATACAGAGGGTGGATGAATTTTGCTTTAAATTTTGAGAGGTAAACTTCACTTGAATATTATCTTTTTTTATCTTTTGGATTTTTATTTTTTTTTTTAAATAGAATTTTGGACCTCACTGTAATTTGCTTCAAGATTTGGAAGATTTTTTTATAAATAGTCATCTCTATTTGAGATTAATTTTCAACATGATCATCATCGAGATGATATTGAAGTCACTTACAACATTTTTAATTTCAACATGAAATTTTGATTTTTGAAAATGGACATCTCTGGTTAAAATTTTCTTTCAATATGACCATCATTGATACGACATTGAAGTCACTTGAAGTATTTATATTTATAGCATGAAATTTTGCTTTTTGAGGAGGACGTCTTCTGATTGTTTCTTTAAATATGGCCGTCATCTAGGTGACATGGAAATTGATTGAAATATTTATAGTTGCATTATGAAAATTTGATTTTCGAAAATGGACCCCTTCGCTTGATATTTTCTTTTAATAGAACTATCATCAGATTGACATTAAAATCACTTTATATACAATATTTGTAATATATAATTTTGATTTTTAAAATGGATCCCTCCAGTTAATATTTTCTTTCGCATGATTGTCATTTGGGTAACATTGAAATTCATAAGTATCAATATTTGCAATATGAAAATTTGATTTTTGAAAATGGACCCCTCTAGTTAATATTTTCTTTCAACAAAGTCTTCATCGGGGTACTTGAATATTTTCATTTGGTTATCTTCGACTTTGTCAACTTGCTTGCAGAACCTGATTTGAGTTCAGTAAAATTAACTTGAAATATTTTTTAAATTTCTTATAATTTTATTATATTTTTATATTTGTCTCAGTGAGACCCCGAAATATTTTGGAACAAATGTAGGTATTCTTACTTTTTCTTTTAAATAGTGTGGACACTTTTAAATAATTTGGACGTTCCGGACGCATTGGCGCAGTTTGTTTCACAAATTGGCAAAATTCGTGCAACTTAGTGAAACATCTCACCCATATACTGTTGTTCTCGATGCAATGACACACTTCTAGAGCAATGATATGGTTCTGGGGCAATAAGATGCTTTTCGAGATAATGACATGCTTGTCGAGATAATGACATGTTTCTCAAGGTGATGCGCTTGAATTTAAAAATTCTGTTGTGATGTGTGCCATATCTTAAAGATATTCGTACGTGAATTCTTGCATGGGCATTTTTGTTGAAATGTGTGCAAAATTTTCATCTTTGATTTTTCAATGACCACTTTTTGCCTTCTGTTTGCTTCTGTACTTATGTTGTGGATATTGTGGCATGATTTGCGAATTAAATTTCTTTTTATATTCTCTTATTTCTTAAAGAATGTGAGTTTTGCCTGTATATAGGTTATATTAATGTGAGCTGGACCCATATAACATCTTTCTTTTCCTATGAATTGGGAGTGTTCAATTCTTTTTTATTCTAGTTCACCAAGTGTGGTCCTGACGGTTACAATTATTTTTAGTATTGGTAGGAAGGTTCTGTTCCCAAGAGAGTTTTCTGGATTTGTTACGAGTTCCCTATAGTTTCTAATTCAGTGACCTTGTCTTTATTTATCACGAAATACTTAAACAATATGATGATAAGATCAGCTTGCAAGGCTTGTGTGTCACTTTTGCTCACAATCTTGATGAGGGCAGCAGCATCCGAAGTTGGTTCTTTAGTAGTTCCAACTATTTGAGGAGTAACTCAATGAAGGTTGGTAGCAGGGGATCCCTAAGGTCTATTGTCGCCAGCCACCTAGCCTCCTTTTCGGCTACTGTTAATGTCGATGATTTTAACACCTTGTCCTGAATGCCTGTTTTCACAAATAATTAAAAATATGGCACAAAAAAAAAGTAAATAGATTGGTAATTCATAGGGACATAAATATAATAATAATTAGAAAAAAAAAATCTAAGGGGACCCTTTCTATCATAATTCATAAACTAAGAAAAATTAAGATATATTGAATACAAAATAAATCACTCTAATTCTGTTCTTCGCACTTTCAGTTCAAAAGGTGTTATACCTTGGCAACACTTAATATAATGCAAGGATCTAATATCAACTCATGAGACTAGTCTTTTGATTCAGGGCAAGAAAAATAATTTCTTATTCATGAGAAAATGATTTTTATATGAAATACTTAAAAAATTAATAATCATAATATATAAAATGAAATTTTATTGGATGAATATTATCTTTAAATGTCTTTTATCAAGGAAAATTTTAACATCAACTAATATAAGTAAGATGAATCAACTCTAACTACAATAACCCAGAACTCAACATAAGTTTAAATAAAGAACTATAACTCAGTTATAAATATTGAGTCAATAAAATAACTATTGCTGAAAGATCTTCTCTTATAGTGATGGTCCTTAATCAACTTAATAAGATTTGTTAAGATAAAATTAATCATAAATGGGTTTGTCATGCAAACTCAATGAGTAACTTTTATTATATAAATATAAGCGATAAGATGTAGAACATGTAATAATATTAATATTAACATGTAGTCATATGAGCAATAGAAGAAGTATTATTTACAATATAATCTCATTACAAATTATTGCATCATAAGATTAGGTTAAGATGATATTAAAAATGTCAATTGTTCTATGATTATTTATTGTATGGTGTTGTTAACTGCATTAGACATATTCGCCCTGAACAAGAGGTATATTTTAACCCATGTGGAGTCCAATGACTACCCAACACCCAATATAGTCATCACACCATGTATATACGTTCGCCTAGCTAGTCCATCATATCAACAAGAGGTTAGTACTAACATTTACATCCATCACACATAAGTATACACATTTTGCATCTGTCATGAGCAAGTGTTGTAACAATTCTTCTGGCAACTATATAATCATGTTTATTTCATGTCAATATTATGTAATTTGCATGAACATGATATATCTAACATAAACTATGATTTGATGTGTCAAACAGGTTAGGCCATCATTAGTAATATGGAATTAATTTACTGTAATATAGTAAGAGATTTGAGTTTTTGCATCAATTTACATGATCAAGTTATCCGCACACCATATGGCATTTTAATATGAACATCAAAATTTCAATGAATGTGAGATAAATTGATTATGAAAGAAATGAGTTAATGTAGGCATGATGAAAGGCATGACTGAAAGTATAAGGCATGATTGATAATTACTAAATATTTCAATATCATATTATAAGCATAAAAAATACCAACCCCGACAAAGAATTCATCTAATAAATGTAAGTTCTCTCAAGATGTATACCACATCCTTAAAATCAACTAATTCAAAACCTAGATCCATGTTCTTAAAGAAACGAATCGCCTGCCTACAACAAATGATGATGATGAATAAAGCTCCAGTCACAATGGGGTAAAGAACAAGGCTTGATAGTGAACTTTTTGTGAAGAACAAATAACAATCATAACATGATTTAACTAATTCTATGAATCAAAATTGAAACTAAGAGAGGAAAAAGATGAGCTTATTAGGTCTCTGATCAGTTAGTAGCAATGGTGGCATCAAACAACTTCCTGCGCCTGCAAGTTGGGTCAATGATGTGATAGGAAATACTTGAGTTCGCAAGAATCTCCAAGGGAAATACTTGAGTTCGCAAGCAAATCTATCACTAATTGGTGAAAACAGCGAGAATCATGCAAAATCTGGGCGGAAAAACAGCCCCAAACGATGGATTGCAATGAGAAAATCAAGCCAAACAAAGACAAAACAAGATACAAGTGATCGTCAATTCGAGAGGAGGATTGTTCTCTCCCAAATCTCTAGAAAAGCAATCTTGAGCCCAAACACCCAAGAACTCAAGAGAACACAAAATATTCAAGCATGAGAAAACTCCCTCCAACCAGCCCCCTTACTAATACAATTCATTTCCTAATTTCAAACATCTCACATTCAATTTTTCCCTCTCAAACTAGCCTCCCAAAACCCTTTCTCCCTATTGCTCCAAATGGGCGGCAGCATTAAAGGGGGCGGGCCCCACCAGTCCTTTTGTAAATCTGAACAGGCCTAACATGATGCTGCTAGGTTGTACACTAGTGCTGGCTTTGAGAAGGAGCCTTATCACTGCAGATGAGACGGACCGGTTCAATTTCTTCCTCCTTCAAAGATTCACCCTGTTCTCCCTTTAAACCAACGACCTAAGGTGATGCTTGGTGAGATTTCTGTGTTGTGAAGGTTGTTGAGCCGGTGTTGCACAAAACATCCTGCAAGGCGGACAGAGGGGAGGGGAAGGTCGGTGCTAATTTTCTTGCATATTATGTTAACCTTGCAGTGCACCTTACCGTAAGTTTAATGTGTCTTTCCACTTGTAATCCTGGTGGAAAGAAATATAAAACTTCATTAATCAAACCAACAGCTTGAGTCATGATGTTGTTAGCTATTGAATCATTTATGGCAACATTAACATGATGATCATTCATAGTGTAGGGCTTTCACATATGGCATTGTGTTTTCTATAATGCAAATTTATTCATTAATGTTAAATTTAGAGAATTGGAGAGGGAAAAGGCTTATTTTTATTGCACAAACTTGTCCATATTTATAGATCTATATAATATATCTTAATAAAAAAAAATAATTACAAAATATTGCATAATTTCTCTAATATAATCCTTCCTAAATCATTCATCTAAATATGGAAGGAGATCACCGAATCTAGGTGAGCCTCCCACGGATTCCCATCTTAGCCATGGGATCAAAATGCCAAGGAATGGTTTTGGATTTAATAGCTGAGCCTCCCACAAATTCTCCATCTTAGCCTGAGATCAAAATGCCAAGGGACGGCTGTGATTTAACAATTAGTAGTCGTTTACTTAAAATGTATTGCTCTTATCAATATTGAATGTATGTTAAAAAGTATTATCATTAATTGTTTTGAGGTTATTGGAAATATAATATATCATCTCATTAATCAATTGCTAAAGTTGTTACTGCTGATGGATTAAGCTTTAAGCATGATATTGCTCTCTCAGGAGACATATTATGATATTAATTATTTTCTTTTAAGTATTTCTTGCACTGCCGGATATCTCATTAGAAATTGGCAGTCGCGATGGAGTAAGATTTGTTCATGTTATAGTTTTATCTAAGGAGAAAATGCATATTTTTCTGTGCCTTACTCTCTTATTAAAAGTTTACAAGTTTTTTTTTTCCTGTCACATAAAATGTAGATGCTAACGTTTATCTGGATATTACTGTCTTTCATTTTTCAGATGGCTTTATTGCCGGAAGGTATTACAGAATTGCTACACCATGACAAGTTAGTAGTGCCATTGGTATGCCCTGCACTTGGATGTTTTGATTCCTTGTTGCTCTAGATTATATCTTACGTTCTCTCATTCACCCGTGTAGCTTATGTAGCTTTTGCAGGCACTGAAATCATGTTAATTGATAAAAACTAGCTATAGAATGCTGAATTCTGAGACCGTGCAGCAGTGCTGCTTCTAATGCGAAATACTTGATATCGTTTCTCATATTTAGTATGCCTCAGATGTCTTTCTTCACATCTTATGAAGACATTGCCTTAGGTTTTGTGGCTGTCTGCCTTCACTACTATAATAGGGACTTGTGCTGATGCATTTATTATGAGATAATCATCCTAATTTGTCCTTGTTCTTCCTCGCGGCAGCCCTCTTACTTGGATCGTTGGGATGTCTGCTTAAAGTCTTTTATTTTTCCTCTCAGCATGAAATTGCTTTCAAGGCCTTACAAAAGTCAGCTTTATCTTGTGTTCCAAACTTCCTGAAGATAAATAAGTAATCTGATTAAACGTGGAAAATACTGGCAATGAGCATCTTTTCTTGATAAGTAGTTTTTTTTGTTGCTTGAGGCCATCCATCCAATTTTCGTTGACAGCTTTCTTTCCTAGAGTTACAGTGATTTATCAAATAGCAATTGCATTATCTATTTCTATGTTTCTTGTTTTATTTTTTTTTTTATAATAGTTTTTGATGTGGACATCGATCAGAGGTTCAAGCATGTGTATCGTCGGAGACAGCGCAGATCGACGGCCACGATTCAGAGTTTATATTTTTAGATATTTATGCATTTTTTTCTTTTATTTCTTGGAGTTTCCTATTGTACCCTTAGTATGAGCTGAGTCATGATTGTAGCCCCGAGGGCAATTTAGTCTTTGTATTTTTCTTTTATGTTGGGACCTATATATAGGTCATTCTAGTTGTATTGGAACTAATGAATGTTTGAATGAAAAATTGCTTTTGGTTTCTACTTCTTCTTGCATGAGGGCTTGAGAAGGGAGAGAGCTCAAAGGGAGCGAATCGCAAGGCCCATCAGTCGTTGGAAGAGTCCGCGACTCGTGGTTAATTTAGTCTATCTTCTCGTTCTTATCTCCCTTTATCTTTTTCTCCACCACCACAAGAAAATCCCACCCCAAACCCCATTTGCCGCCGCCCCTTAGGAGCCTGCCGTCAGCCACCTCCATGGTCCCGGCCTGCCACCTCGTCGGTAATTCCCCTTCACCCGTCGGACTCCTTCCCCAAGCAATTTTAATTCTGAAATTTGAAAATTCAAATTCTAAAATTCTTTCCTAATTTGGAATTCCAATTTAGGTAAGTTTTTATAATGAATTTCAATTTCGAATTAATCTCAATTGGAGTCATGAGACATAGTTCCACATCATCATCCCAAATTAGAAACCTCTTTCCCTAACCCCCTCTTCCTCCTCTAAGCAAGCCGCCGGCTCCGCCCATTGAGATCCCCATTAATTGCTTGTCTAATGCATTGACCGTTTTGAAATCAAAATTTGATTTCAAAGATTTTTCCCTCCTAAATTACTTAAAAATGAAATTAAATTTCAGTCTTTGGATTTTAAACCTCCTCCTTCCCTCTAAGCATGTTGCCGGCCACCCCTCTTGATGAGCTCCATTAATTGCTCATTAATTCCCATTAATTACATTTAAAATTTGAAATTCGTTTCAAATAATTCCCTCCAAATTTACTGAAACCTGAGATTAACTTCATATTTTAGTAAACTTCTTGCTACAATCATCCCACCTATTTTCCCCTAACCCTAGCCTTCCCACTCTTGCACCCGACTTCCCACCCTCTCTCCTTGAGTTTCCCGCCGGCCTCATCTCCTCCTCTCCCACCTTATCAACTACAAGTGTTCTCTCTCTCCACACCACAATCTTCCTCTCTTCTCAAGAAAGATTCTCCTACGTCAAGCATGCATGGCGGATCCCGAGTTTGAGTGGGGATTAGTATTCAACGCCGACCGAAGCATTAATATCCTACGATCTCCGTGCTTTGACGTAGGATTTGAAGACGACGCCACAGTTGAAGAATATTTGGAGCGAGTTGTCCCGATTCTTGTAAGCATCATCGACTGACGATTTTCAAGCCACGATTGGAGCATTAACAGTCGAGCATTCACGCTATCCTCGTCACCGTCAACCTCTCCGTGGTTCAAGGCCATTGGTGTTGCCACCGTCTTCGTGGCATCGTTGAGTTTGCTAAAGACCTTCTTCCGCTAAGCCCGACTTGAGTGTGAGTGAGCAAGGTAACTCGTTGTGAACTTTCTAGACATTAGCCGTGGGATTCTATTATTTTCCGCATTTGCTTTATTGTGATACTTTTGAGATCCTTCCTTAATTATGTCTAAACAACTAGTTTGTAACTGCTTATCATAACATTTCGATAACGGAAAACTTCTTGAATCTTAACCTACGATACTCTAATCTTACATTGGTAAACTTTGTGATTCTTAATAAATTTCATGTGCAATTCTTGAACGTATCACATCAGTTTTATTCTTTTCCATTTACAAATTCTTTAGTTCTATCATGTTTCCTACATTTGCTAGCCTAGCCTGAATACCCTATACCCAGCATCAGAACCTCTTTTGCACATGTCAAGAACCATAATTTCCACTTATCATTGCACAAAATTTGAATCCATCTACCTTTTATCCTATAGGAGCTACTTCATATCATCTGTAAACAGGAATTTGTTTTTCTTTGTTATTGTTAAGCATAAATGGGTTTTCCAGTTTGGCATACAATTGCTCAACATTAACTTTCTGCATTTCTTAATTTGATCATTTTTTATCCTATTGCAGATTAAATGTTGTAACGTTATGCTTCTTTCTGCAACAAATACGGATGAATTGGAGCAGCAGTGGGATTGCCTTCTACAACTATGTAGCAGCCCTTTAGTGCAAATGGGCCCCTTCATATCAAAGCAACTCAGCACCAAGCTTTACGATGTATCTCACTATCTTACCTTCACCAGTAAAATGGTTGTTTTGTTGAAGTTATCAATTCTATTGAACTTAATCTTTGACAAAGTTGCCAAGCCAATTTTTCACGTTTTAGATCTTTTTTTTTTTTCTTTTTGTTTCAAATAAGCGCAATAGTTGCGATTTTATTTAGTTTTACTTTTTGTTTCTATCGACATGAGGTATCTTGAAAATTACTGTCATTCTTAGTAAAGCATTGTTTATGATCGGTCATGAAACTAGAGAGAAGGGTGGCTTTTGCTCCCTTGGATTTTATAAAAACATTAAATAGTTAGGTATGCTATAAAAAATTAAATTCTAAATTTTCTTATAATTATGTATATTATAAAATTTAAATAAGAATTTGACTCTTAATTAAACATAATAGGATTCATGTGTTGACCCTATGTAGTTGGATAGGCTTGATGTTATTGTTGTATGTTGATAGGTCGGTTCCTCCTTAATCGGCCCGTCCAGGGCCGGTTCGTGTTTACAGGAGGCGGGCTAGTCCCGCCTCCCCTATCGATGCCGCCCAGTATAGTGGGTCCCACTAGTCCAATTAATTTCAATTTTGAAAAGGAGGGGGCGTCTAGGGCTTAGGAGGGAAATTTGTTAGGGAAGTTATTGTATTAAATATCATGAGATGTTTTAGGTTTAGGTTATGCTTGATTTGTTTTCGATTAGGGTTTTTTGACGACTTGGGCTCTAAACTCTCTTGTCTAAAGATTTGGGAGAGATGATCCTCCTCTCGAATTGAGGATCTCTTGTATCTTGTTTTCATTCTTGTTTGACTTTGATTTTCCTACCGCAATCTATCGTGTTGGGGCTGATTTCACCCAGATTTTGTATTATTCTCACTGTTTTTCACCGGTTGGTGATAGGTTTGCTTCCGAACTCAAGTATTTCCTATCATATGTTTATTATAGAAGTTTTGTTATTATTCCAAGGTGGACATTAACATCTTAAAACAACTTAGACTAAATAGAATATTTCACGTCTCCTAAAAAAATAGCTGATTTCAGTGATCTTGTCATCCTCTCCTCCCTGTTCTAGTTACAGTACATCTTACTCCTGTTCCTGTACGTCATGAAGGTTGAAATTGCTGCGGTCCTTACAAAATTATGCCTCGATTTCCCAGATATTCATATTGGTAAATTCAAAAACTCCATATTCTGAGAAATTTTCTTTTATCTGCTGTTGGAATATGAATTATGAATTTTTCAGCGCTGAAAATTTTTCTTGCAAAGTGGCATTTCTAACCTCAATTTTGTTTGCTTTCTACAAAATAAAGGATGCCATCGCCAATCCAGAGCTGGACCTCTCATAATAAATTTTGTTGGAAAGGTATCTCTCTCCATTTGAATGCCATTAGCTACTTTATTTCTTCTAATATTGAAATTTCACTCAGGATCATGAAAGAATAGAGTTGGCTTCCCGTATTTTGTCTCAGAAGTTCGACTTTGGATCATTTTCGGAACTAAGCAGTGGGTGATTTCGGCTCTCTCTCCATCATTTCTCTTCTAACTTCTATGATTTTCTCTCAGCCTAAAACTGCATGTGAAAAGAGAGAGAAAGAGAGGTAGAAAGAGAGGGAGAGAATCTGAATCGCCAATAGCCTCTAGGCTTCTCTTTTGTGGGTTCCTACTGTGAAATAAGCCTTCATATTAAAGTAGCTTCGTTATTCAATAAAGGTTGCGGCCATTGGAAGGAAAGGAACAAGCGTTGAAGTTTGCTGGTCTTCTTAATAAGTTGAAGAATGCCTGCAATAGGTATTTCGTGAACCAACAACTGATTTAGTTTATTAGTTTATAGGAATTATTTTGCAATCAATTCGTTGGGCAGTTTTGTCATTTTCTTCATTGGAATTTCACTTCCATATTTTCATTCTTAGGTTTCGTTTGGGACGACTTTCTTACTGCTTCTTAAAACAGCTTTCTAGTATAAAATTTTTTTACTAAAAAACTGTTTTAAGAAGCAGGAAGAAAGCCGTCTCAAAAGAAACCTTAAGCTGTGTTCATATTGTTCATAAGCCTGCAGTAATGCTGTGAAAGTACCTTTTCTTTTTATTATTTTCACCAAGATATCCATTGAGTGGCCTACATCGTATTGATCAAACTGCCTTCAAGAGATGAAGATCTATCTTAATTTTGTGCTTGAATTTTGTGACGTTCTGATTGGAAATTAGAGAATTTCAGTGAGTCAGAGCTGAGCGATCACCCTTTCAGGATCGTCGCAATTATTAAAATTCTTAGTGTTATAGAATCAAAACGGTGTTCTTGGCAACTTGGTTTTATTGGTGCAGATGCGGTTTCGTTTCGGATGGCTTTTTTTTCTGCTTCTTATATTAGCTTTTTATATAAAAAATGAAAATTTATGTATTAAAAAGTTATTTTAAGCAGTAAGAAAACCATCCCGGCTTTGTTTGGGATGGCTTTCTTATAAAAATAGTAAAAAAAACTATCTCAAATAAAGCTGAAGATTGATGATCAGCAATTTGATTTAAAGACCTCACAAGTGCAAGTATATTGAGAATGAGACTTGTATGGTTAGATTGAAGCCCATCCATCTCTTCTAGCTATTATTAGTAAAAGAGATGTTATCTAGTTTTCGTTTGGGACAGTTTTTTTATTATTTTTTAAAGTAGTTTTTAAGTAATTTTAATTTTTTATTAAAATGTTACTTTAATAAGCGGTAAGAAAGCCGTATCAAATGAAGCCTTGGGTTTTTTTAAGTTGTGTGAGATAAAATGGCTATTGTATAGTTTATTAATTATTAATATAATTTTTTCCTTTTTGATGAAGAATATGCTAAATCTTTTCTAATTTTAAAAGTATTCATTAATATTAGAATGTTTATTATGTATGATCTATGATTGATACAATGATAATTACATTTTATTAAAAAAAAAATTAGCATATTGAATAAACTATTTGCTATTGAAAATAAACCATTATGGTACGGATTGCATCATTTAGACAAGGTTTTTAAAGAAAAAAATATATATTTGATTTCAGAACATTTGAAGAAAATTCATTAATAAAGTATTATCATTGATAGTGATCTCATATGGTTAGAGTTAGTTTAATTTGAGATGTTTATTAAGAACAATTATTGGGTCCAGTGATCGGACGTAGCTCTATGTTCGGTCAATATTGAGATTGCGCCTCATGCACTTACTCTTTACCGCGCGGCCCAACTACTTGACCCAGATCGGAACCCGGGAATGCTATGTTCGCATATTACTAGGTATTACTTGGTATTTGCTTGGTATTGCTTGGCAATAACGAGAAATACCACTTTGTGAAGAGCAATATCGAGTTTTTCTAAAAAAAATTGGTATTGCTCGGTATTACTTGGTATTGCTCGGTATTGTTCGGTATTTGTCTTCACATAATGGTATTTCTCTTTATTGCCGAGCAAAATTGACAAATAACTAGCAATAACGGATTGTCATGGATTTAAAAAACGCACGTGCGACATATCCACTATTCGCTGTGTCAGGTCCGCGGTTTTGTGCCTGCTACGTGGCGCAATCTCAGTGCCGGCCGAACGTAGCTCTACGTCCGTTCACCGGACCAAATAAAAGTTCGTTTATTAAACAAGGGGAGAATTTAATTTAGGCAGGATAGGATAAAAAAATTTGCTCATGAATGAACGTTATTATCTAATATATATTCGACAACTTAAACAAATTTATAATTTAGTAAGTTTTAATGAAAATTAAAAAGTTATGGAGCCCTTTTTAGGGGTCAATTAAGATTTCATATGAGATATATTTCTTAAAATTTTATAAAATAGTTTTTTATATAAAATTTTTTAATTCAAAAAAATTTATACTAAGTTGGAATGATTTTTTTGATAATAATTAAAAGTTTTTTTAACATTGAAAATACAATTAAATCTATTTAATTAATAAGTTCAGTCTTCAAAAAACAATTATAATTTACTACTAATCTTTTAGATAATTATATATAATTTTGATAACAATCACTAAATTTGCGCATTAAAAGGGTTCGGTTATAAAGATGCTAATAATTTTGAATGATTGAGTTTTATTACATTTTTTCAATGGCTATAATTTCCAAAAAAAATCACAGATATTATAAATGAATTCAAGGATTAATTTTTGAGAATTTAACCCTCTATTTACCAATTCAAAATTTCTTTAAAATCAATAGCTAAAATATTTGCAACAAATAATTTTTATTTTATTTCATTTTTCAACTTATTAAGAATTTAACGGTTAACCGATCCCAGATAATATGATGAAGGCTTCAGTTAAAGGCTGAGACTTCCAACTTCCCTTAAGCCAAGCACTGACCATCTAATTTAATGAAGATACACGCAAAACAACCACCGAGCATCATCAAAGATTGCCACGAGCCAGCTGAATTATGTTATCCTTTTAATTGACAATAGGATAGAATATTCTTAAGCATTGATAGTGAATCTTATATGTAAAGTCTTTAGAAATAGGATTTGCTAATACAAATCTTTAATGAGATGAACAAAGTTATATAAATACACATAAAATCACATATCATAAATTATTAATTTTTGACAATCATTCTTTATTTGACATGAAAATTGAAAACATTAAAAAAAAAAATCAATGTAAATGATAATTCAATAGCTTTATAGTAGAAAGACTAACTAAAACTATTGAAAAATCACACATGCAGAAATCTCTATCATATTAGGCTTATACTTCGTTTGAGACAACTTTCTTACTGCTTTATAAAACAGTTTTATAGTTAAAATTTTTCAAATTCAAATTATTTTTGTAATGATAAACTAATTCATAAAGCAGTAAGAAAGCTATAACCAACAAAGCATTAAATCAAGCCTCAAATTTGAATAAGATGATAATCTCTCTGAAAAACTTTAAGATTCCATTTGGTACAACTCTTTTATTGTTTTCTAAAATAATTTTTAATAAAAAAAATTTTGAAAGCAGCAAAAAAATAATGACCAAATTTCGTTAGAGGAAAACTTTCTTACTGTATTTTAAAATAGCTTTTTAGTACAAAAAACTCTTGAATAAAAAAATTTTATATTAGAAAACTGTTTTAAAAAGCAATAAAAAAGTTGTCTCAAACAAAGCCTAAAACTCTTAACTTTATCAAAAAAATTACTCCCAAAAATAAAAGACAGCAGATCTAACAAAAACTTTGTTAGTATAAACAAATGTTCCTCAAGTACAAGTCTAAGATCCCTATTTGTAATGACAAAATTACTCAGATTTTCCTATTCATTGGGATACAATCCATAAAAATCTCACATGAAAACATAAATCCCACAACCCCAATAGTCACTGAAGAAGCCACAGAAAGCTCAGTAAATCACAACAAAAGGCCATTGTGGGCAGGATATAGTAAATCACAGACTGTCACAGTGCTGGAATATATTGTTGTAGGATCTTAGGCTCTCAAATCATGATCAAATAGCAACGCTTACTTTTGTATCGTCTACGTAAATACCTATGATGCAATGACACTTCTCCACAAAGAGGTGTGCAGTGTCCAACACGACACGCTAAGTCGGCCCAGACCCGTGTCATGTCGTATCCGTGTCGCTATGTCCGTGTCCGTACATCATCATAAGGTAATACATTTAGAGGGTTTTGAACTTTGAGATTACCAACCATTCCAAGCTTTAGCTGATCTCAAAACATATATTTTCCTGCATCAAACTCATCATTTGTTAAGTTATAACAAGCAATATGTATAGTAAAGCATTCAGGCCAAGTTGGCCGAGATCAAATTAAGTTAGCTCGATCTACTAGCCCTCAACTTTAAAGAAACTCACCAGTCTACGAGTGACCTTGCATCAAGAAGGCAACTACAATCTAAGACTTGTCCTAAATAACTAAGTAGGGCAAATAAAGTGTGCCGTAATTCGTCTCTAGAGACTACCAGTATGCTGAAAACTAAAACTTTAAAGCTACATAGCTTTTCTATTTTTCTCTTATTTTTTATATAAGTTATCTATATAATCAACTCTATAACACTCAAACTCCAACTCAAATCTAGAAATAGAAGGTCAAAGCATGAGCTTAATTTATGCAGTTTTATATACTTAGACTTCATTTGAGACGGCTTTTTTAATGTTTCTTTAGTTAAAAAATTAAAAATTTTATACTAAAAAGTTATTTTAAAGAGTAGTAAGAAAGCCGTCCCAAACGAAACTTTAAGACCATCTTATAGAAATTTCATCGCTTAGTGCTCTACAATTATTTCTCTTCATATATTTCCTGCTTTCTATTTTGCTTAATATTCTGACGACCGTTTGATGTAATTCACAGACATTTTTTGAATTTAATACAATATGTCTGAAAAACTCTACGAAGCCAATTCAAACCATTGAAATAGATAAGAATACTTTGCAATATCAAAAGTTAACTGGGATCCGTTAAGAGCATTAGTTATTGCCTTGTTGACAATCAGATAGAAAATTCTCCATAAGAAATGCAAGAAAAAAGTCATATACAAGAGAAACAAAGTTCAGAAGATTAGGATGGACAGCACAAAATTAATCAATGCAGTCTTTTCTAATGAGAATTCATACCATTAACTCACTGACATATATTTTGTGAGCTGTAGCTGCTCAATTTCAAAAGTTTTCTTTTAATGCACTGCAAAACAAAAGATCTTTACAAGAATGATTTTGATGATCCTTTAATCTTATCTGAACCATCCAAAATTTTCAGTTTATCAAATCATGGCATAACTGGGTACTGCTGTAATGCAATCATGAGAACAGTAAAAGAAACCGTAAAATGAAGAAAATCAAAACTTGAATGTGAATTACTGTCAATAATTCAAACCATTTCTTTGTCTTTTCCAGATGATAGTCTAACATCAAAAGTTGAGAAGATTGACAATTAGTAATTATTGAAGCAAAATAAGAGAACTCAACAAAAAAACAATACATGAACCGTTTTAGATGAACACGCTCCGCTAACTATGCAGAGATTAAATTCGTATATAACAGAAAGCTTCAAAGAAGAAATGTAGTATACTCTTACGGGTCGATCGAAAAAAAGAAGACCAGTTCCCCTCAAAAGATCGAAAGGAAAATTAAGAAAGTTCACCGATGGGTCGATAGCGAAATCGAGGAAAGGCTGAAGAGGAGTGTGATTATTCTCTAGGGCTTCCGTTGCCGGCAAACACGAACGAAGATGAAGTCGAAGAATAAAAAAAAAAAACTTATTGATTCGTGAAATCGAGGAGAGGCTGCGGGAGGTTGATCTAGGGCTTCCGTCGCTTGGAACAGAAGGGAAAATTTTGTGAAGACGGCAAAAAAATTTGGACCATTTCTCGATTTATGCGTGTCATCCTTGCGCAGGGGCCATGCTAATCTTCTCTGTATCGTTCCAATTTTATCGGATGTTTCCGAAGAGACAACGGAGTTAGCAGGCGAAGGTTTAAACAGTAAAGCATTTGAAAACTACAGCCAATGTGGGACTATGCGGAGGTCTTATTACGCAAAGTTTTTACACTATCTGTAGGAAAACACTAACAAATAAATAATTATAATAACAATTTTAACATTAGCTCTTAACTACATGTATATAAGAAAAAAATTGCCGAACATAAATATCCTAATAATGATTTATATTTGGTATTCATTTATAAAAAATATGAAAAAAAATTGCTCAAAATTTTCAAGAGTTAATGTATTTCTTTTGAATGGAATTTAATTTTGCTCTGTATGCCTTTATTTAAAACATTTTGTAAAATGATATACGACTTGATGGAAGAGTAAAGAATTTTTTTAGTTTGCCCTACAAATGAAGAGATAATGATTCTAAGATCAAGTGTAGTATCTGTTCTTATCAGTTTAATCTTTACTGTTGTTGATCCCAAAAAAAAAAATTTATGAAGATTTATTTTGTTAAGAGTAGGAATATCATAGATGTTCCTAATGTCATAACATTTTGTTTTAAGGAGATTGTGAAGCTTTATGGCGTGTCAAATGAGAGATTATTTTGTGCAGAGACCAGACGCAGGACATTATTTGGAGATCAACCAGAATGCGCCATGTTAGCGGTACCGAGCCGCGGTACCGATCATAGAGTAACGTGATACATTCTGATTAGTCTCCGAACAGCATTCAGCATCCGCACTGAATAATTAATCGTGTAAAAATAGGTACATATATTTCATAATGTATAAATTGTTTTATTGAATACAAATCAAATTCAAAAGAAATTTTTTTTTTTTTTGCACGATATGATGCATTTCAAATACAAGCATTTTAGAAATCTGGCGAGCGATGGCAATGGTAATTGGTGGGCAATCTGCTATGGCGACGGGTCGCGGTCAATCGACAGCATTGTGTGAGCGGGCAATGGCAGGTGACAACACTATTTGTGAAAGATTATGCAAAATTTCAAAAATCGTCCAAATTATACAATTTGGAAATATTTCAAAATAAAAATAGCAAGCTGTTTGTTTTTTCAAAGTTTGAGAAAATTTTTGCTTGTATACAGATCAACCTCTTCTTATCTTAGTGGTTTACTTGGAAATAAGAAATCTGGCATAACACTCTCTTCTCTTATCACATTCAGTGGAAGTTGCTCTTGGGGGATTCAATATAGTTTTTTACATTTCACAAGGACAATTTTGCTTCCCTTGGGGAATACTAGCAGTTATGCCATGGAAGGAGCTTAAGCTTGTAGAATCTCATTCCTTTGAGAATATCAGTCTACAAAATGGCTAAATCTTTGCTTGGCCTCCTCCATGTTTGCACCGCTTCTTTGAATTGTTTGTCATTTTGTACCAGGAAATCATCAAGTCACTTCCTTAATATTCTGAAACTTTCATATTACAGGTAAACTAAGCATGCAATGGTCCACCTGCTGGCAAGTGATTATCATTTTTGAGAGAACCCATGACTTAATAGGATGAAGCAAGCACATTGATGACTCAAGTCGAGATCACCTGCAACTTTGCTTCAAACAAATCTAAGCTGAATGGCCCAGCGTCCCTTTTATTCAAATAAATCTAAGAAATATAATCATTATTAATGAACTAATGCAAAAACAAATAAAAAATATCTTCATTGAAACTTTAACTTTGCAACTAAATTCTAATACAAAGAAAAACCATTAGAAATCACTTCAATGAAGCTTTCCTTTTTGTGATCGAACCCAAAAGCATGCACAAACAAATTTAATATATGAAATTAAGAATGTTGTGTTGGGTATGACTGAACAAGATATGGAGACATTATCATCAACTGCCACTAAGTCAAGATATAAATCTTCAATACAAAAGCAGTATTTAAATTTGTAGGATATGTCTTTTTCTCCTCCAAGAATAGAATTACCATTCTCTTCTTAAATTTTATTTTACAATAGAACTTCTGCAAGCTACTCACCTTCATCAATGTCTCTTCCTAGATATCCTTCATTTTCTTCCCCCCAACTCAGTATATTCTTGCTGAATTGATCAAAATGGAGATTAGTCAGATCCACCAGCAACTTTTGTGAAGGATCTTATACAAACCGTGCTCTCCTTTAGAAATTCCCACAACCTCATCAACCAGGTTTCCAAGACAGTAACTCACAGGTTCCGAGCAAGGAGAAATGACAGGTAAAAATTGAAACTTTCATCAATATTCCCACAAGTAAAGACTCATAACTGATCTCTAGCAAGTCGATGCCACGAGAGTTCCTATAGGTAGCACATTGAAACAAGATTTAGTTGTTAAAGCTTGGGAAAACGAAAACAGGACATTGACTTTCTCTGTGAAGAAAGAAAATCAAAAAAAGCAAAAGCAGGAAAAGCGTCATGATGAAGGAAGCAACATTGGCCCAATTAACAATCACAGCTACAACTAAACTGCTATAAACACTGTATCCCAACCCATTACACCTTAAAAGGAAGATTTGTGGAAAAAAACATTGATCAGGGAATCTTTCCATCCGTTGTGGGAACTTCAAATACAAAGAACTAACACAGTACTGTCGTCATCATAGATATTACCATTGATGCACCTGCATCAAAGTAAAGAACTCAACCACTCAAATATCTAACCATCCACTTATGGTCAATGTTAAATGTTATGTGAACTCCATTGACCATAAACGTTGCCTGAGGGCAGCCACGAAACAAAATTAAAATAATAATTTCCTCTAAAAATGAAAGAAATGATAATGAATCCCAAAAATTAAACTGGGCCATTGGGAAAAAATCATAAACTAATCTCAATGTATGGTAAAATATTCAGAAATTCAGGTTCTAGCCAAGTTGGCCCAGATCAAATTAAGGTAGCTCGATCTACTAGGCCTCAGCTTTAAAGGAACTCACCAGTCTACAAGTGACCTCGCATCAAGAAGACAACTACAATCTAAAACTTGTCCTAAATAACTAAGTAGGACAAAAACAAATACAATTTATGAAGTCTTCTCTAGAGACTACTCCAAGTCGGCGATTTCCATCATATGGGCAGCTATGTGAAGAAATCCCATGCATTAGTATTCTTATTTTTGCTATAAGAATGAAACAAGTAGAGTGAGGGGTAGCAAATACAAAATAATATCACCAAGATGGTATCTAAAAATCACTCCACCTCCAGCAATGTTAGCACTAACCATCCCATAACTAATAACTTCAATAATGTCAAAAGTAGGCTTTAACAAGTAAATTGCATTTTCCTTAAGAGTATGCTGAAAACTAAAGTTTTGTTTGAGAGGGCTTTTTGGTTGCGTCTTAAAGGAGCTTTCTAGCAACAAAAAAGACGTCCCAAATGAAGCCTAAAACATTTAAAGCTACATAGCTTTTGTATTTTTCTCTTATATTTTATATAAGTTATAAATAGAATGTCAAAGCATGAGCTTAGTTTATGCAGTTTTATATACTTAAAATCATCTTATAGAAATTTCATAGCTTCTTGCTGTAGAATTATTTCTCTTCATATATTTCCTGCTTTCTTTTTTATGGTCCTTTAATCTTATCTGAATCATAAAAAAATTTTCAGTTTATCAAATCATGGCAAAACTGGGTACTGCTGTAATGCAATCATGAGAACAGTAAAAGAAACTGTAAAATGAAAAAATCAAAACTGGAATATGAATTACTGTCAATAATTCAAACCAGTTCTTTGTCTTATCTAGATGATATTCTAACATCAAAAGTTCAGCAGATTGGCAATAAGTAATTATTCAAGGAAAATAAGAGTTCTCAACAACAACAACAAAAAACATGAACAGTTTGAGAAGAACACGCTCTGCTAACTATGCAGAGAATAAATTCGTATATACAAAAAAAATCGTATATAACAGAAAGCTTCAAAGAAGAAATGGCGTATACTCTGACGGGTCGATCGAAAAAAAGAAGATCACTTCCCCTCAAAAGATCGAAAAGAAAATCACGAAAACTCACCGACGGGTCGATCGCGAAATTGAGGAAAGGCTGAAGAGAACTGTGATTAGGGCTTCCGTTGCTGGCAAACACAAAGGAAGATAAAGTCCAAAAAAAAAAACTTTTTGATTCACAAAATGGAGGAGAGGCTGCCGGAGGATTTCTCATTGAGATCTAGGGCTGCCGTCGCTTGGGAAATCAGGAGAAATTTGTGAAAACGGCAAAAAAATTTAGACCATTTCTCGATTTATGCGTGTCATCCTTGCGCAGGGGCCATGCTAATCTTCTCTGTATCGTTCCAATTTTATCGGATGTCTCCGAAGAGACAAATAAGGTCAGCAGGCGAAGGTTTAAGAAGTAAGGAATGTTACGCTACCAAATCAATGTGGGACTAATGACTATTAAGAGTATATTGAAATTTGAGGTTGTGCATCTATAATAATTTATCTATGATATGATAGCAAACAAAGTTGCATATGACTGTATTTTGATAAATCTTAGCCATTTCTTAAAAAGGAATAAACAAATATAATAAATTCAAATGATTAACAGTATGAACTTTTAACTATTAAGATTGAACCATAATTATAACATTATGAACATTTAACTATTAAGATGGTGTCTACTTGATCTAATGACTTCATGATTCCATCTCATCGTTATAGCTTCCTAGGTGGTCATCAATCCTATAAGTGATCTTCTACAATCACATAATTTTGGAATTAATACTAAAAAAATTTCTCAAATGATTGTTTTGAGATCTAACAAAGTGCATACTTTTTTATAAAGCTTAAACTTAGACATAATTCTTCAAATCTCAAAACACATAAAATATTAAAAAAAATGTAAAAAGGTGATTATGAGATCATCAAAATTCTATTGTCAACACTCTTATAGTCAAGATGAAGTTGTTCGATGAAATAAATACAATAATATTAAATAGGTCTAAAACAAGCACTCAAAAAAATAATTAGAAACTCCTCGATTTTATGGAATTTGAACATTTTGTGCCCCCGCCCCCCTACTCATCCAATATCAACCACAAATTTCATTCATCATGTTAACATCAATTATCAACTAGCATCGATGTTCATCGGCTACAAATTCTAATGGTAGTCTTCACTATTTCTAGATTTCCTTCCTTCTAGAAGAATGATTGGTTTGATCATTGATTATTGTTCGGCTTTCAAATTCCTGATTGGTCCTTGTTCAACATCATCTAATAATCGATGATTGATATTTGTCGACCACCTCTACATAACATATTCAAATCACTCAATCTCTGATTCTATCAAAAGAATGATCGATCATACCACTAAATGTCAGCCAACTTCAAACTTGCATAGTCAAACATTATCTAACATCCTTTTTTGCAATTGCCCAGTCTCACGATCTCCCCTCCTATCAAGAGAAAAGCCGATAGATCTAATGTCGCCCAACTTTGAATATAACCAGTTGATTGTTGTTCATACCTATGAATGATCTATGTCTAAAATCTGTAAGCCGCTACTACACCCACCTTCCTAATCACCCATTCTCCTCTCACCATGTTAAACAATTATTATTACTAAAATTCAAACAATATTCGCATGACTTCTACCGATGATCGATGCCGACATGTGTAATAGACCTCCAATATTTTCTATCAATCTTCTTCCAATGCCTACTAATAAGCAACTTCTAACACCCATCAATCATCGACTTCCAAAACGAATATTCGCCATCACTTAGCTTGTTAAAACTATAAACAATTCATCAACCACCACAAAATTTCTAGTACAAAATGATATCAAATATCATATATATATATATACTGAATTTATTATTATTATCATTATTATTATATAATGCCTGTTTATCTTTTATATCCATTTCGCATTGATAATAATAATAAAAATTGGTTCAAAATTGTATTCACAACGATTTTTATTTGTTAATATGCAAGTAAATAATTAAATTTAAATATAAAGCATATAAATGATAAAATTTTGACCGTTATGAATAAAAACCCCTTCCTCATTTCTGAAAATAGAAGCCTGATATACTGAATCCTAAATTTCAAAATAAGATTTGATCAAATGGGTTGAAATTTATATTTCAATATCTAAATGTTCATCCTTAAACATTTCATAGCAAGAAAAAATCCCATCTAAGTAAATTTTTATTATTAAAATAACTTTATTTGTTAAATATTTATTATTAACAAGAAAAGAACCCAACAAACAGCATAGCATACGTGGAATGTGGGACCCATGCATTCCACTCATCAACACCCCCATTGGAATGAATTTTTCATCTAATAAGCAAATGAGGCAAACTTCTAAAGTCTTATTGGGACGGCTTTTTTACCATTGCTTAAAATAATTTTTTAGTACAAAATTAAAAATTTTTACTAAAAAAATTGCTTTAAAAAGTAATAAGAAAATCATCCCAAATGAAACCTTATTCATAACTCTTTTATGGATCCATAAAGAGATTATTATCAAATTTCAACCAAAAACAACAGTGCACATCTAAATAAAACAATTTTGAAATCAAACAACACAATATGCAACCAAAATGTAGATCACTGTGATGTGGATGACACAAAAGCTTCATTTGTTTTAATGGCAACCCTAACCAAGCCATGGAAATCTGCACGAAGAAGACTAGCCGAAGCTCATAGTCATGAGTTTTGGACCGTTATCAGGCATTCCCATTCCAGCAGCAAGCTCAGCATCAAGTTGCCTGTGCGGTGAAGGTCCATTTATTTGCTTCATTCTGCAATTTTCACAACATATTTCCAAAGATAAACGCGATCAGATAGTCTGATATTCTATTTGCAGAAGAAATCATTTTTCATTTTGATGATGAGAAAAAACCATATGCTTGAGCAGTAAGAATCTATTTAAACAAAGAATATGGTAAGTTTTAAAGTTTAGTTCACAAAATGCAAAACAAGTTCATGAGCACACATTAAGATTAGAGTGCATTAAGCAAAGATAAAAATGGCTAGTCCAAGCATTTGCTTGAATCAAATATTCAATTGTTATCAATTTAGGTCATCTCCAACCGAACTCAAAACGCTTGAATGGCGTCGCTTGTAAGCTCCAGCCGAACGATAAAACTTCCGTTATTTGGTTGCGGATGAACAGTGGGACGCCAATATTGGTGTTGCACTGTTCATCTTCGCTATTTTTCTGTCTCTACAGAACTTGCCAAAGAAACGCGCGAAAGAAGAGAAAGACTGTTACCTTCGCAAAAAGGGGAAAAATGGAGTTCGGTTGGAGATGAATCGCGGCATTTTTTAGTTTCACGGCATTTTGGAGTGAAAAATGAGATTTTTGGTTGGAGATGCCCTTAACCAAATGTTGACCTTTGTGTGGAACTCAAATAAGGCCGGTACAGTCAAAATGATTAAGACTTCATTTAGGACGGCTTTCTTAATGCTTCATAAGGCAGCTTTCTAGTACAAAATTTTTAAATTTTGTACTAGAAAGCTGCTTTATGAAGCAGTAAGAACGCCGCCACAAACGAAGCCTTAAGCTTGATGCAAATATATATGCTACTTTGGGTTAAAAAACGTATTACTTGATTCTATAGTTCAGCTCATCATCATCAGAACAGGAGGATCCGCAGAAAATTACAGGACTTATCTAGTCTAAATTTACCTACTTGCACTAACAACTTTAACAGGCCTTCTGCTAGCCTTAGTGCATGTACCGTTTTGATTAGATGCCTACTGTATTTCAAAGATTTAGGCGTTTGTTAATTGTTAGGTTCTTCAGGCTTCTTAATAACCTCAAGTTAAATTAACCTTGATTTCCCAACCAAATGCTATTATCTGCAATTTCGTAAGCCCGGTTGAGACAAGTGTGACTTTTCTTCGCTTAAGGGGAAAAATTCAGATAATGTAAGTGTGAATTTTTCATTGCATGTTGCTCTGCAGTCAAGTCTTCTCCCCGCTACTACAATCTCTCTTCTTCTCCGCTTAGGTCTTACTAGTTGCTTGTCCTCATCTGCAATCTACCACAAGGGTTTGGAGTTGGATTTTCCTTTCAGTATATCTTTTGAAACTGCCTTCTTCACTGCCGTTGTTTCCCTCATAAGGCCTACTTCTCATGACGACCTCCTCGTCAATGACCATTTTACTGGCCAGAGATTCCCTATGCTTCATCTTTCTCTGTAACTACCATGCTTCGCTTCTTATCACAACTGAAGCTTTTCTTATTTCTAAATTATAATGTTTTAATAGTTTTTGTAACTAATTTTTCAATACATGAATCATTTTTTGCACAGCCAACTGTAATCATGGTTATTTTATTAACTAGGGCTGCTTGTAAATCCTCTTGCTCGTGTTAAATGGCATGATGAACAATGGATAAAAAAGTCAGATTTAAGTTTCATTTGGAATGGCTTTTTTGCTACTTCTTAAAGTAGCTTTTTAATACAAAAATTAAATTTTTTTGTACTAAAAAGCTACTTTAAGAAGCAAGAAGAAAGCCGCCACAAATAAAGCCTTAATATCAATTGAAACAACCATTTTCAACAACTAATAGGACTGACCAAATCTTGTCACAATATATATATATATGACAAGATCCTTCACCCAATTCTATCAAGTGATCTACAATCATTCTCCTTGGAATACTGATCAATTAGAAACAAGCATTTTCAAGCTCATAGCTCTCACAATGTTAGCTGTCTGTTATTTCAAGAGAAAATAGGACTGTGAATGTCAATATCTTGTTGTGATGATCATGATGAAAAATAGAGTTGCATAAGTTTGCATGAGCAATAATGTGCAAGTACATTAATAAATGCATTCTTTATTATTTGAGTAGGCAACTAATGTGTAATGTATTGCTTCAGTTTATTTATTTATTTTTGAACGAAATAGTTGGTATAATTGAGTTTTGTACGAATCCACATAACATTTAATTAATTGACTTAGTCAGATGCTAAAGATGATGAAAGAGAAAACATTGAATTGGGAGGAAATACTAAAGAACTCTGACTTTTTAATCCATCCTCAAATGCATGAAAAACAATTGTGAATCCATTTTATATAGGATTTGCTAGACTTAGACTTCGTTTGGGATGGCTTTATTCTTGCTTATTAAAGCAGCTTTAATACAAAAATTAAATTTTTTGTACTTAAAAACTGTTTTAAGAAGAAGCAAAAAAACCGTCGCAAACGAATCCTTAAACTAGATTTTTTGGAGATTAAAACACAACTAAAAAAAAAGTACTTAGGAAGTTGTACCAACAGTAAAAGAGAAGCAGCTGGGGATTACAATGTGCTATATATGCCATTAGCTAACTGATAATGTATTGAATGAACAATAATGCCGTAATTTTTTCTTTATTGCAATGTACCTAAGTTATATATAAAATTTGGAACTAATAGCAAATGAAAGTGACATTTTTGGGTTAATGCATTTAGGATAGGCAGAGTTGGCACCACTCCATGATAAACCTTTTTCACTCTTCGAGGAGTACAAGGCATTATCCAAAGAAGAACAAAAATAACCAATCCTACCAAATCATAGAATACTATGAAACTTAAAATATATGATAGCATTGATAGCATTATGTGCAAGTTGAATGTTAAATTGAGTACTTATGACCTTGTTTTTTTTTTTTCGATTCACTCATTACAAGAATCTATAAATATTTATTATGTCATATGTCTATCCCTTAATCAGCTAAATTTGAATATGAAATCCATAAGGTAAGATCATATATTTGTCATGATACGAGAAATAGAATCAACAATAGTCATAAAAAGCACAAAGCATGCTTGAGAGATCACAACAAATTCGAACCAAACATACTCAATCCTAGGATCAATCTAGCCTAATGAAAGAACCTCAAAAACAATTTGGATTGGTTCACAAATAAGCCCCAAAATCCAAAATGACTTGAATCAACTGAGCATGTTCAACAGGAACTCTCAATCTATTTTGCCCAACTAGGCCTAAATCCATTTATATATGTAAGTCTAAATAGTTATTCATCATGATTTCAACCCTCATGACAATATATGCTTTCATGAAAAAATCTCTAATGGATGATTGTGCACACCCATATTGCATGTACACTCTTTTCGGGTGACAAAGACAATAATGTACAAGTTTTTACATTGAAATTTGAACTAATTTAGCTTAAATTTACCACATTGAACTGGGACTATTAAATTGATCCAAACCAAAAGGATAATTAGCTTGGTCATATCAGGATGTGCCAATGAGCTATTGAGCTTTTATAATTTAATTTGGATCAGACAAAGTTCGTTCCATCAACAAATGAACCTAATATACGTACTAAAAAACATACCTATGACCTATCTCAACCTTTTACTTATGCCTTAATAGTTGATAATGTCAGAGGATTATAACTCCAAGTTAAGTCATCTCTCATCTTCTTAACTATATCATAACAGTCTCTTGAAATAAATGCCTTCATAAAGGCTATAACTAGAACTTCCATGTTTCACCATCTGTAAAATAACTTTCTCAGAAAACATGCATAAAACCGATTAAAGAAGTGATGGAGCTAGAGTTACCGTTTCTTATGGCGCTTTGAACGATAGTGCTCCTCCCTCACCTCATCATTAGCGAAGTGCCGGCTGTAATAAAAACAATAACAAAAACTTAAGACTTTTTGAGAAAACGAAACTGACAGGATCTAGAACCCCAACTGAATATCTTTCATCAACTTACTCGCAATGTAAACAGTAAAATTGACCCATCCCGGGTAGATCCTCATCCAAGGGCAAGGGCTTCGTCTCTTCACTTTCAACTAGCTTCTTCAGCTCGTCAAACACCATATCGTCGCGTGGTTACAGGAACTCGAAGTTAAAGGGAAAAAAAAAACAACAAGCTATGAAAGAAAATGGCAATGATATTTCACGAAAACATATTTTGAGGCGATGCGAACCATTGAGCTCGCTTTTGAAGACCTTAATGAGAAATAACAACTGAATCTTTCATTGTTGGTCATCAATAAGTGAAAAAAAAAAAAGTCAGGAGAAATAGCCAGGGAAAGGAAAAGCGAATAGAAGAAGGATATCCTTGAGGAGGAAATTGGAGCGGCGTGCGCTCTTGTGTGAGAACCTCCGCTTCTTCACCTTCCTGTGTGGGCACTTCCCTCCCATCTCGAGCTTTCTCGCTGACCGGCTCGCGCGGCACTTTGGTTACGAGCAGCGGCGAAGCAACTAATCAAACCCTAGAGGCCTTTGATGCTTTGCATTGTTAAAAATTAATTCGCCTAAATTATATTAATGATGAATATTTAAATATTAATCAAGGCTTAATTATGATTTTAAAAGAAAAGTTAATAGCTGCTTAATTGTAGTGACTATTAATTAATTATTAATTTATGATTTTAAAAAGAAAAGTTAATAGCTATTAATGCATATTTCAATATTAATTAAGGCTTAATTATGATTTTAAAATATCACTATTTGCCATTGTCTATTTTTCTATTGATAATAATAGTATAAATGTTCTTTTTATTTCTGAATTATTTCAAGCAATATGACCAACAAAAATTTCTCACTATTGGATTCTTGATGTTGATGGATTAGAAAGGTACCTCAACTCTTTGATCATATTATTCATTAGCAAGTGTCTCCACTACATCATTAAGATTTCGTTTGTGACATTTTTTTACTATTTTTTTTAGTACAAAAATTTTTTTAATTAAAATTTTTTTATTAAAAAACTATTTTATAAAACAATTAAAAAATTGTCACAAATGAAGCCCAAATCACAATCGGTTGCTCCTTGTTAGAAATCATGGATGGCTTTGGCCTAAGCGTGCCAATTAACTTGGGGATAGTCAAAGCGAACTTGTTAGGTAAACTATGGAGTTAGAGTTCTTGTCGCTGTCTAGGACACCTCTAGTTATTTTGTGTTTGCCACTCTTTTGGTCTTCTTTTGTGATGGCTTTCTTATTGCTTGATAAGCAACTTTTTAGTACAAAAATTAAAAAATTTTAACTAAAAAGCAACTTTAAGAAGCAGAAAGAAAGCCATTCTAAACAAAATCTTAAACTTCTCCTTAGTCATCCTTATTGCCCAATCCTTGCTCATTTTAGATGAATGATTGCAGATGCATTAGGAAGTTGCTTTCTACATCTGCTTTCGAAAAATTCGAAAAAGTTATTTTCTTCACAACAACTTTACATCTACTCTTACAAAAAACTGCATTCATCCCAAACAGATCTTAAACATCATGATTTATATTAAATTATGACCCTAGAATAGTTAGATTATAAATTAATTCTATAATTTTTTTAATCATCAACATTAGCTCATCATACAATTGACACATGAGATCAACATATAGACATTATCATTCCAAAAGGAGACAGAAAGCTAGCTCCAAAATTTTTACTAAAAAACATTTTAAAATGAGCTCCCTCAAAATTTTCACAATTTTTATTCTTTTTAAATCTTGAAAAAAGTAAAGTCATCCAACAATTCAATTTAATGCATAATTACTTAATTTAGTTTATATATCATTTTTTATTTTTTTATATTATTAACATAAAATTAATTTAAAATTATTTCTCTTAATTATAATAAGATTTAATAAATTTTATGTTTAACCATTAATATTCAAAAGATAAAGAAAAAGGAGACCAATCATCTTTAAAACCTAATATAACTTGAGAGCACGATTTTAAAATATTTTTAAAATCTATTTAATGTATTGAGTATAATTTAAATACTACATTCTTTTTTCCCTCAATTTATAAGGAAATCAATTTTAAATTTAATTTCTCCTAATTAATGAATATTCAAACTAATACTAAACAAATACTTTCAATTTATTAATCTAAATTTAAATATTGCAAATTTTATGATGATTCTTAAATATTATAACATTAATTAAAATATATAAGTTATTATCTAAAATCAATTTTAACATTTAATTTATTAATATATTCTTAAATATTAGACTCAAAGATTAAAAATTGATCAAAAATGACATTGAGATAGCTTATAATCAAAACTTTAAACTAATCTTAAGCCAAAATCTTTTGGACTCGTCATAAAATCACTAATTTTCTTTCAAATAAATGCTTAATAAACAAGCTTGATTATGTTAATTAAGTTGAATCTAAATCCTACCCTTAATTGACACCACTAGCTCCATATCAACTAATCTAGCTATATACTATAACTTCTACTATTTTATCATGCATATCTAAGACTTCCTTTGAGACGGCTTTCTTATTACTTCTTAAAATAATTTTTTAGTACAAAAATTTTAATTTTTATACTAAAAAGCTATTTTAAGAAGCCGTAAGAAAGCCGTCCCTAACGAAACCTAAATTTTCAAAATCTATTTAAAATTACCTTATTTTTAATCAACATAACCCCAATCAATTTAAATATAAATAGTCCTGAATATCATTAGCCTGATTATGATTATATAAAATTTCTAGCTATAAATGTTCGATTTCTTATCTAAATATTTAAAAAAAAAATAAAAAAAATCTTAGCAACCCCATCAAGTAAAACATGTGATAACTAATGCTTAGTTCGGGACAGCTTTCTCGCCAATTCACTTTTAAAATGAAACCACAATTTATATTTAGTCACTATATTTTTGGATTAATTATTCTATGCGGACATCAAACGGCATACGGAGACCAACCAGAATGCGCTACATCAGCCCTTGCTCGATACCACGGCTCGGTACTGCTCGGTACCATAGCTCGGTGTTGCTGACATGGCACATTCTGGTTGATGCATCTGTCCTCCGCACATAATAATTTCATATATTTTTGTTGCTTTCAAAAAAAAATTTGAGCTATGAAACAACTTTCTACAACTTCCAAAAAAGTTAATTTCTCCCCAACAACCTTGAAAAATTTTAGCCATCCCAAACAAATCCTAACCAAATGGTTTTCAACTGACCACTGAGCCAAAACAAATGAACTCCACATGAAAGCACAAAAATTATATATGTCAATATTATCTCAGCCAATATGAGACCAATTTCATGAGTCCTCCATTTACTTCAATTGAATGTTGAATATAATGTAGACATTTGACTAGCATAATAAGAAATTTAGCTCAAAAACTTTCCTAGCAACTTACATAAGGGAGCAGCAAACACGGATCCAAAACTGTAAGCCCAGAATTAGAAGAAAATACAGACCCAGGTTTTCAATTTGCTTCAGTGGCTTCTTCAGCAGTTGACAGCTTATCTTCTCCATGGCAACCTTGGCTTTCCTCCTTGCCTTTTTCTGCATCAGGGAAGAACAGAAGAAGAATACAAAGTAATTAACAGAACAATGTGCTAAAAGACAATGGAGATGTGTCTACTAAGAGAAATTATTCGGAGCGAAGATCGGATGCAGAACGCCGTCCGGATACCAAACAGAATGTGCCGCTTCAGCAATACCGAGCCGCGGTACCAAGCAAGAGGTGATGTGGCTCATTCTGAATGATCTCTAAACGGCGTTCAGCGTCCGCACAAACAAATATAATGCAAACAGAGTTCAGATGTTGAGCGAAGCAGCACCTCTGTACAACTAATTTCAACGGGGACATGCGAGAGATATTCATGTATATGTTCAGTAGAAATGTAGTTCAAATTGATTTCAGATATTTCAGAAATGTCGATGCAGGATACCTAAAAGGACGATATGTGTTTTGGATTTTGGGCTTAGGTTAAATGTGATTGCTATAAAATACAAATTCCTTCTGGAAGTGTAATTTTTCTTTTATACAAACTACCTTCACTTAATCAGTTGCATAACTGCATCCTATGTGCAAGTCAAAGGTATATTCTAAAACAAATTGAAGCTGATTACAAAACCATAGCTATATTCTATTAGACAGGTCCATTGGACTGATCCAGATGGTCCACACGGGACCGGCCCAGGCGCTAACAGAGGGTGGAACCCTCCGACTCTTGTACGCCGGATCTGACACCCAAGCAACACAGAGCTGTTTAGGAAGGTTTTTTTAGGGAGTTAGGAGGGAAATTTGAATGTAGGGACTGTTTAGAGATTTCCTTTTGGATTGTATGCATTAATAGTTTGTTTTCCTAGGGTTAGGGCATCTTGAATTTGGCTGAAATTTGAGATCTCTTAGGTATAAGTTTTCGGCTTTAGCAGCGTCTAGAGATTTGGGAGAGATCGATTCTCCTCTCGAATAGAGGTCAATTGTATCTTGTTATTTTCTTATGTAGTTTGTTTTCTTGCAATAAAATTACTGGTTTTCCATTATAATTGTGGAGATTTCTCACCATTTTTACTCTCTTGATAGGATTTAATTGAAATCTTCAAGTGTTTTCTATCATATTCATGTGGCTTATCCCCGCATTCTCACCAAATTATGCCAGCATCATTACTTCATGGTAAACTCCTAACTAGAAGTTAGAAACCAATTTGTTCTAATAAAATTGCCAGCCCAAGAATCAGAACAAAACAAGAAAAGCCAAACATATCATATAGCCGTTTTACATCCAGCATATCAGCAAACAGTTGAAGAAAGAAGACTAATCTCATCTGAATAGAGTATTCAAAAGAACCTCACCTTAGAGATACCCTATTAAACAAATAAATTATAAAATAAAACTAAAGTAAAGAAAATGAAAATAATCGTCCTTAACAAAACAATGCATAATAATGGAACTTTCTGTAAAAAGCAGACAATTTTCATTTTTTTTTTTTAGCAAACGTACCATATTCACTGAATATAACACCTCCAGAACACAAGCCCTCTTCAATTTTAACTAATCTGAGAGTCATCCTTGGGCCAATCTCCTGAAGTTTGACAGCACTCTTCATAGAAGCACGGTTCTCTTTACCAATATCAGTTATCAAACTAACAGTTGCTGATTCTTCATCTGCTTCACTCTCTGATCCAAAGCCAGCTCTTAGAATAAGAAAATAAAACAGTGATGTCATTAAAACACACCATAGGCAGTGAAGAAATCCAAAAACATCTACAATTAACTGTAAATTTATATTTTGATTTCCAACATTTTATTGAAAGCAATTTAAGAAGTTGGGTATAAGACATTATCAAAAGGTTCATACAAGCTGGACTCCGAATGCCGATCAATCTATATCATCCCTGAATTTTCTCACTCCTACCGAAAGCAATTACTAATTTTTTTCCATAGAATATTGTGGATAAAATGTCCAAAGTGAGTATTATACAAACATAATCAATTTAAATGAAAAAATTTAATGCAAACACCAGAAGGCCCAGAACAACAATGGAGCCCAGAATTTGCTGCTAAAGCATCACTAAGCTCCTTGCATTTTTGCATCAATTATCTTTTAGAAATGAATTTAACCACAAAACACTGGTTGAAACAAAAAAAAAGACATTTTTTAGTCCAACAAACGTAAAGCCAATGAACTTGACCGAATAATAGAATTAGCAAAACCTTAAAAGCAAAAGAAATAGCTTTTATACATATATAATGCTAAAGTTTTGTGAGATTTCGGAGTTCCAAGATATATAATCTTACTTCGTAACAAAGTCGCTCACATCTTTCAAATTCCTCAAATCTGGCACATTGTGGTTTTGCACGAATTTCCTAATTCTTCGTGAAACGCCAATAGGTTGTAGTCTGATGGAATAATGCCTAAAATCAATAAGTTTTGTTTCGGTGTTGTAATTTAACAGCACAATCCTTTGGCAGGATGAAAGCTTGACCTGGACGAGAAAATAACAGTATCAGCATTGAGGAACTTGACACATCTGGATCAAACAAAATAACATGGCAAGATTTTAGAATAGAGTGTTGATGAACTGACAGTATTAACATCAATGGCTGGAAATATATTCTGAAACATGATAGTTGTGAGTTTCAAGTGTTGACCTCCACTCCCAAAGCCAGAAAGAACAATCTTATAGAATGTTTAAGAAATGTTTGATTAGGACAACATAGTCAAAATAAATCCAACTCAAAGATGATAGAACTTAGAAGGAGAAAAAAAAAAGTGAAGCACAAAGAATGGACCAAAAAATAAGCAAGCAGACTCACTAGAGGAGGATTATTAAAAATTCCTTGAGGACACCTTGGCCGTGCTTGCGCACGAACCACATCAGCAACCAAAGCATATTCCTGTATTTCAAAGGTCAGAGTTGGGCCTTGAGGTGTCCTTGCAACCCGCAAATGAGGCACACTTTTGGGCTTTGACAACATTAAAAAATGAGTGACGCCCATAGGCCCCGCAACATTCAAAAAGTCCTTCAAATTATTCCTTCTCTTTTCCTGCATAAGTAAAAGATAAAATATTAATAAATTCCTCCTGAATTTGGCAAGTTTACAGCTAAACAAAAAGCATAAATAACTAACTAAAAAATAAATGGATATGGATTAAACCATTCAATAGAAGAAACATATGCCTTCAATAACAGAAATGTTGTTCATCAGACGGTACAAAAGTTGAAGAGTGAGATTGGATTGTTCCAAAAAGGTTGAAATGGACAGAAGCATGATAAAACCGCTAAGTTCTGGCAAGTATTGGCAAAACTGCTATGAAAAGAGGTAAACAATAATTGGTTTATTAAGGCTTTTAAAAGATATAGCATGAAATGAATGCATAGGCATAAGAAGAAACAAATGTCAATGCATTACTTTCTAGCAGTCCTCTTGGATGTTAAATCACTAGCGAGGCAAAAAAAAGTACCATAATATATGACAATTAAATATGGAACTTTGTTTGTTTAAACCAGGCTCATTTGGTTGCTTGGCATTAAAAATATGTCTAAAAAAAATTTGTAATCATCTCCATATTAAACATGTTAATTGATGTAACCCTACAACGATACAAACAATAAACTTGGCTTAATTAGATGTAGAGCAATTAAATTTATTAAAATTATTATTTTTTACTTACGTGGATTATAAACATGGGAAAACATTAAGGATTTAATATAATAAAAATCCAGGGGCGAAAAGGATTTTTTACTCTCCTATAAGTTTTTTTATTTTTTTTTTATTTTTTTAGGGGGGTGGCAATTGCCACACCTAGGTTACATGGGGTTCCGCCCCTGAACAAATCTGGTATACCAACAAAAATGCAATTGCCGAGCAAACTAAACAGCCATGCTAATAGTTTTAGACTTTTAGTGTAAAAGGACAAATATGCTTATAACTAATATAAAAAGTGATATTTGATATTCATCATCGATGCAAACCTAAAATATAACTATTTTAATTTGATGTAGAAAAGCATGATATTTTATACCAATTATGTTTAAGATCATATTCATATTTAAAAACCCAGGAGGGAACTTAAGAATTTAATATATAGATTCCGTATATACAAAGAGAACCTTAGCCCCCAAGCCAACTAAATGCTTGTGCGAACATTTCAAGTATGAAAAAATAACCAATTTGAACTTCGTGCATTTTGTATACAGAACAAAATCCAACTAAACAACCTAAAATTTTTGTAGTGTGGGAATCTACTAGAACTACAAAGGGACTTCCGAGGGCATTACAAGTATTAGATGGACAACAACAAAAAAGTAAAAATTATAAATTTTAAAAACATGAACGTAAATTAAAGTAGTTTCATTGAAAAATGTAAGGTAATGTTTTCTAGGAAAACTAAGGCTAACTTCAATCAATAAAACCATACATATGATTCTTTCTTATTTCATATAGCTTCTTGTTTGTTATAATTTATCCAAGCGAACAAATGCAAAAAAGATCCACACTAGATGGCCACTTTTGAAGAAACTAATAATAAAAACATAAACAATTTTAAAAAGGAAGAAAACAAGATGCAAAGAGATATGTGCAAAGGCCAATACTCCAGTTGTTTAGTAAATTTCCATTGCCACTCTTAGATATTTCTAAAAAGGTTCTTTTAGAGAACATGAATCAATGTGCCATTGGAGGTTCATTTAGATTTGCGCTTAATTTCATCAAGAATCATTTGGAAACACACTAAAATGAAGACAAAATTGGTAGAGAGATAAGAAAAAAAAGTAAATGATGTAAATCTTTTTATTTTTATTGCGAGTTTTGATAAAGAAAAGAAAACTATTCATTGGAATTTTAAAGAAAAGAACCACAAAGAATTATTATAGTCAGTTTGACATATATAGATGTAGAATGCTGGAAGCAATCCAAAGTCCCATGAGCTTATTCAGAGAAAGAGTAGATGCAGGAGATTGCATTTTAGGAAGAGCTATATAAGAAAGTGGCCCAATAGCAAGAGAACACCTTTACTAGGAGATTTTATAGAAGAAATTGATAGAACTGTCAAAAAATGAGAATTTGCATTGCTAATTACAAAGTCAATTAACTATGAGAATTTGCATTGCTAGTAGAGTAGAGGAAGAAGATGGCAAAGGGTTCAACATCAACATCAACTCAACAGATAGGTAGAAGAAATGCAATTAGGAGGATAGTCAGATCAAAGAATAATGTTTAGTTTACATTTTCTCTAACTCATTGTCATGATGTACTTTGCTGTGAGTTGGAACTTCATTAATAATGCTTTATATTTATTGCATCATTTTTAATAATGAAATTGGAAATATCCTTGCGTACCTTTTCTAAAAATATTACTAGAATAAGATTTTGTGCAGTGAAGCAGTGTTTTCAAGGCAATTGAATCCTCCTAAGATTGTTGACCACCCTTATAGATCGTTGGTTGAAGTCCATCTTCACCAACATGATCTATTTTAAAGGTATCTCACTAGATCATCCCTCGAACCATTGGTTCAAGACCTACTCAACAGCTATAGCATTAGTAAATGGGAGGTTGAATTGATTGCACTAAGGCACAACTAGATCCCTATCAAGTCATAAACTAGGAACACACAAGTTGAGTCGGTATCAAGAAGATCCAAGATACGAGCCTACCAAGGGAGTTGAATTTTAGCTTTGGACTATACATATTGTATGAAGATATTGGGATGATATACTAACAGAACATAAATAGCAAAAATTCCAAGCAATTCCACTCCATGTCTGCGCCTTCCCCAAAGCAAGTCCTTTCCACCCAAAATTGAAAATATTCCAAACATAATATATAACATAACATCACAGGAACAGTGCTTACAAGAAAATTTTGAGTACCTTCAATTTAAGCGCGGTGTGCGGAAGCATGGTTTTGCGGAGATCGAGCTCCAGCTGCTTCAAAGAGCCCGGCACCTTCCCTCTCGAGAATACGAAGCTCTTAGGGATCTTCTCGCCAGTCAAATGGTCAACGCTTGGCTGTTTCTTCACAACTGGCGTCTCCAGCATCTTTTTCTTCTTCTTTAAACGCATTGTTTTGGAAAAATAAACAAGTGAGCAACTCAGCTTGGAAAACCAGAAGATGAACCAGACAGGATGAGAGGTAGGGAACTCACATTACGAAAGCGAGCCATCCTTTAAGAGCTGATTGGCAAAAGGATTTATGTTAAATCCTGCCAAACGGGATTTGATCGCCCCGTAAATCTCACTGTCGAATAAATCCTCCGTTTCCCTCTTTTAGCCTTACTAAATCCTGCAGTTCGGCGAATTTACGGGATTTGGCCGAAGAAGCGCGCGAAAGGGAGAAAGTTATCTTCACAGCGAGCTCCCGTCGTTGCTTACGATCAAAATGTCGTCACTTCCGATCCGACAGGAAGGGACCGTCGTCGAAGGAGCGAATTCGAACAGCAACGAAGGAGCCGAAGAAGCCACTCGTCCAATCTCTACACCTCCTGTGAAGCAACGAAGCCGAACAGCAACGACCAAAAGGAAACCCTAGACGCCTCTAACTTAATTACTATAATTTAAAAATTAAAAGTTAGTAAATTAAATAAATAATTAATAGTATAGTTAGAAACTAATTATCTAATTTATATTAATTAAGTAGTTCGTAATATAATTAGTAATTAAAAATTAATAAAATTA